GTCGTCAGGTCATTCCAATATTTGAAGTCTTCAATGTGTTTTACTCAAATGCCCCTTAACTATTACACCTATATATTTCTATGCAAAACTTTGATGCACTGTTGTAGTCCTGCCCTATGCTTGGGGGTCATGATTTTAATAATCTTGAATCTACACTACCTGAGGATACATCTGTATTAATATTACTAATAAAGGCTTAGCAGTTCTTGAGAAAAAATTCTAAAGTATATTTCCTATATGTTCCTAAGTAAAACATTGCCCCCATGTTGTGTCTGTGCCGAACCCCCAGGGTCATGGTTTGACCAACTTGAACAAACTTGAATCTACATTACCTGAGGATACTTCTATATTAATATGTCTAATAATGGCTTAGCAGTTCTTGAGAAGAAGATTTTTAAAGATATTTACTATATATTCCTATGGTAAACTTTGACTCCCTGTTGTGGCCCTGCCCTACCCCTAGGGGTCATGATTGGAACAAATTTGAATCTACACTACCTAAGGATATTTCTCTGATAATAAGACTAACCATGGCTTTGCTGTTCTCGAGGAAATGATTTTTAAAGACATTTTTTATATATTTCTATGTAAAACTTTGACCCCCTCTTAAGGCCCCGCCTTATCCCCGGGGATTATGATGTCAACAAACTTGAATCTAGAATATGTAATGAAGCTTTCACATAGATTTTATTCTATTTTGCCCAGTGGTTCTTGAGAAGAAGATTTTTAAGTGATGCCACCAAATTTTCATTTATTCTTAATATTATCTCTCCCTGAAAGAGGGCGTAGCACTTCCTGTGAACAAATTTAAATTCCCTTCACCCAAGAATACTTTGTGGCAAGTTTGGTTGAAATTGGCCTTGTGGTTCTTGAGAAGAAGTCGAAAATGTGAAAAGTTTACAGACGACAGGCGACGAACGACAGACGACATACGGACTCATGCATATGACACTCTTTGATCAGAAAAGCTCACTTGAGCCTTCGATTCAGGAAAGTTTAAAACGATTCACGTAGGAGGATCAAAAAACGATTCATTAGCGATTAATTATTGTTAAGTTTATAAATTATTTCAGAGCCTTCTTTCCATGTTTGATCACTATATTACCATGCATTCTCTGAATGAGCCAAGATCACATGACATTAATATAAAAATAAAGTTGGAAGGGGTCTTGATGCTATATATACTGAAATTGGTTGAAAATTGCTCGGTCATTTCAACGGAAAAGCCGAAAATTTTCAAAATGTTATAGTCAAAGACATATAAAAAATAATCCGGATAGTAATATTCACTTGATTGGCTCAAGTAACCTGTAAATGCAAAAGTCTCTGAACTCGTGACCCCAAGATAATCAGTCTTTTCAGAAAATTTCTTTAATTTCATTTTGTTCTTAACATGTTTGATAATTAGTTTAGTATCAAAAACTGGTATGAAATATAAAATTACTTTACATAGTAAAATCTCATAAAAATTCGATCAGCTGATCTGTGTCTTTTCAAGAAATTGCATGATTTTCATTAAATTCTAAGCCTGTTTGATAATTAGCATTTGTTTTGTCAGTAGCAAGATCTATTATAGAATATTAAATTACATGAACTCTGCATTCTAATGTGCACTTGACCTTTACATTCTGAAATCTTCTAAAAATTTGATCCACCCTGTCATTCTTGAAATAATTGAATCAGAACTTTGAAATTAAACCCGTGTATCGAAAATTTTATAAAATACTGGAATTATTGCGTGCATGAAAATGACCTTGAACAGTTTTTAAAAATCTTTCTATCTGTTCTTGAATATTCAGCACGAAAGTTGTATAAAAACTATTTGCATCTAATTTGTATCAAAATTACCCTCCACGTAAGATTGTATGAATTGTCACTTTTCACCACAAATTGAGAGTATTCCTAATAGACATTTTGGTAAATCAAAGATCATGATTCATTAATATAAAAGTTCCACTTTACCGCAAGAAAATGCAGATTTCCAAATTATCAATCATTTATCTTTCTTTTTGTAATTTTGAGACACGTTGCCATGGTAGCCATTCACCCAAGAATTCAATACCCTAGATTTCCCAAAATTATTTCTTGAAGAAAGTCTATATGATATATAATGTTTGGAGGAAGTCTCTGTTCATGCTTGTTGTCAGCTCACATAAATAAAAGTGCAAATCCTCACAGAGAATAAATCTTAAGGATGAATCTCTCTCATTTTTTTAGTATTTAAAAAATAATAATTTTTTTATTGATTCAAGAAGTGATCAATGAAATCGAAAAAAGTTTACCTTTTCTTTTTTTTAAAACTAAAACATGCATCACCTTATTGCATTTCTTTTGCTGTTTCAAAATATGTTGGATCCCAGCTAGGGTACCTAGGTATTAAGCGGATACATGACAAACTGCAGTGCAATCAAATTGTTGTAGGCGGAGCTAGTAACTGTACTTCTTCATATCGTCTATTTATAGCACATTACTATGAAATCTAAATATAGCTTTACAACTCTCTACAGCCCCTAATAAAAACAAGACACGCTCCTACCGAAATAGAAGTGCTTTTAATCGTTGTTGGTAACCTATAATAACTATAATTTTATGTCAGGGACTGTATATGTGAAATTTTCCTTTTAAAATTAATAGTACACAACTTAAAGTCTATTAATATAGCTATACGTACGAGTGTTGTCACTAAAGTTCGTGGACAATGACGTTTTTGTCAAAATGAATTGTCCTATATACATGTATACTTATTGTATACCAAAAAAATCGTACTGCGTGTTTCTATGCTTCTTTGATTTAACTTCGCCTATCAACCAATCACTTTTGAAATGGTTGTCCAATAAGCGAGGTCATTGCTTAAAGGTGCTTGGACACAGATTTGAAGTTAACATTTTCTCAAATTTTCTGCATAATTTCATATCTATATGTTGCTATAGCATTTCATACTAAAATATAATAAAAATCTTATTTCATCTCGAAGTTATTGAAACTTCAAATTTCTGGACGCGTTTGATTGACACATCCTTGCACTTTCACAAATTTTAATTTTATTCTTAATACTTAAGAAAAGTGGCAATTTTGTTGTGTATTAATGAAAAATATTAAAACTATAATCCAGAAAAATTCAGAGTAGAAATGTTCGAAAGCAAAACCCACTCACAGTATTGTCAGTCCGTGCTCAGTGGTGTGTGCAGACTTTAACAATTGAACACACCCGGTGAATCTTAAACATTAACAATAACAGAGCTCGTGCCCTGTTTACAAAAACAGTTTACGTTTCACGGATGTATTCAATTTGTTAAACTCTGTACACAACAATAAGCACGGGCTGACGATATTAGTGAGGGGGTTTGCTTTCGCACATTTCTACTCTGAATTTTCTGGATTATAGATGTAATGTTTTTCATTAATACATAAAAAAAATAGCTTCTTTTCTTAAATATTAAGGATAAAGATAAAATTTGTGAAAGTGCAAGGATGTGTTAATCAAACGCGTTCAGGAATTCGTAGTTCCAATAATTTCCAGATAAAATAATTTTTTAATTATATTTTCGTGTGAAATGCTATTGCAATATATAAGTCGTGATATTATACAGAAAATTTGAGAAAATATTAACTTCAAATCTGTGTCTGAGCACTTTTAAAGAAGATTGGAATGAAGAGCGAAAAGAAGCAGTTAACTGAAATGATTACTACAGTGTATTTCATTTTTTTCTCCGTACTTTCATATCTTTAGAAGGTTTGAGATGACTTCTATTAATCATTTAGAGTTATCGCATATGATAAGATTGTTTTTTAGAAGAAGTCAAGAAAACGGAAGACCTTCTTGTTGCCATGGCAACGAGTTTCTAGTTATATTTTTTTCAGTTGTGAGTAGGAATGATAAATATGATCTTTTAAGCGCCATTGACATCTAATAATAAAGAACGTTAAAGCAAATATACTTTGAATATTAAAGTCAGAAACCAGACATGAAACCTTCCTTATAGTGTACAGTGAATATAACGAACTTAGATTAATTTTTCAGATATACTTTACATATAAAAGTTAAGATAATCAAAATGGAACGATCTCAAAAAATTCTACAAACGATATTAATCTATGAACAGGGGATAAAAAACGGACTCCAGAAATTTCAGAGGTGGGAACAGATGCTTAGGAGAAATAAGAATCCCCTGTTTACCGTTCACATCCGCCGTGAGCCCTATGTATTGATCAGGTAGACGAAACATTTGTAAGTCGAATTTAGTATACAATAGATAAAGAAGGAAATTTGACGATGAAAAATATGAAGTCAACTTGTTCGTCTTACATTTTTTTTGTTAGTTGGCCCTTATCGTCTATGGTCAGTAAAATATTCAAATATGAAACAGCAGTGGCAAACTCTCTGGTGTCTTTTATTTTAAGTTCAATGAGATAAATCGGGTCGACATACTAATGGAAGTAACTATTGTTAATTATTAAAACGTTCTCGATATATCTGAATGTCGAGTTGAAGGCCACGGCAGGTGTTTTCTTCTTCTCATGTAAAAGTTTTTGAATTCTGCTTCATAGGAATATTTAAACAAATCGGCCTAGAAAGGAACACAATTAGTGCTCATTGTAACTCCAACAGTTTGTTGGAAGTCCTGGTCTCCGAAGACTACATAAATGTTGTCAATTTTTGCAGTATCAACTTCAGAGTACTTATGTGTAGAATCTGAGCGATTTTTAATTAAGTATTTTTTGATGATCAATTACAAGATATGAAAAGTTCCGAGTTCCATTTTTATTGAAGGAGCAGGTGACCATGATATTATGTGATATGCTTCTTATATTTGGCCCCAGTTACTCCGTTTGGAGAAACCAAAATAACTTTAAATAACTGTCATATACCACACCTCCTCCCCCGGTGACTCTTCCCCTGTCAATATACCTATTGTGTGGAAATAAACTTCATAAAAAATTGTGTTTTATTAGCAGATTCCCTTTTGAAAAACTCGAGAGAGGAAGAAGAGAAGAAGAACATGGGTATATTTTCGTCAACGATTCAATGTGATATTTCATTGTGGGGGATTGTTGTGATTTTAATACAAGGATACTTTCTGCAAGAAGTCAGGGCCGCCGACGTTGCTAGCTTACATGACACGGTACAACGTAGACTAAATACCAGTGGCGCGAACGAGTACACACCACAATTCACTGGAACACCGTACAAAGTTGAAGTGTTAGAGAACATTCCAGTAGGATCCGCAATCTTCCAGGTTTCCGCTGTAGACGGCGATAGGGGAGAAAACGGAAGAGTTAGCTACGTGCTGCTACAGGGAACCCAAAACTTTGAAGTTGATGAGAATACTGGGCTCATTAAAACACGTTCGTTCCTGGACCGCGAAATGGCAGATCATGAAATGCTTTTGGTGGAGGCTCATGACCACGGCACTCCTCATAAGTCTACTGTGGTTAAGGTGCCTGTAAGTAGAATTTTTATTTTCAATATTTTAAGATTTTTTTAGTTTGTGATTGATTGATTGTATGTTGTTTTTCGTCTTATTTGAGAATTTTTAACTCATACAGAGACGTCACCATATACCGGTGAAGGACTTCAAATTTAGACTTTTACTCGGCACTCAGGGCCATTGCACATTGAGGAACTTTATCGTGCCAACGCCTGCCGTGACAAGGGGCCTCGAATTTTAAGGTTTCATTGGAAGGACCTGCAACTTTCACTTCAAAGTGCAGTGCGCTTAGCGAAGGAACTGTTGCTAAGTATTTATTTATCGACTTAGGTCAGTCGCGGCCGAGGTTCGAACCCACGATCTTCCGATCACGGAGAGCGCTCTACACGATGCAGTAGCACGTTTAATTTTCAGAATATGTGTGATGGATTTTGCAAATCAAAAGCTTTTTAAACCGTCACCTTTTACGGAAGAAAATACTGCCCAAACAAACGGTTTGTTCTTTAAAACTTAATATGCCAACGAAGGAATTGATGCAGTTAATATACTAGTAAGTCACATCCTAGTAAGTCATATATCCTTAATCACGAAAGAATCCAGTCTTTTCTTCCACCATAGTTCAAAGTGCCGTCCTTTCCTTGTGTTTCGTAGAAATGTACATCGACTACTGCTTCTCAACTTTTTAAGTACAAAAATACTCTACAGTGCCTTGATATCGAACATTAAAAACATGATCCTCCAACGTGTTTATGTTCTTCTTCACCCTAGGCCTACAACTTTAGTCCAAAATGAGGACCTTAAATCATTAATTTATTTAAGGAACTCCCATCTTTCAACTGGCATCCTAATTTCATAAATATTATAAATTCTTACGCTGGAACATGTGCCAAACATGAGAAAGAAGACCTTGACACTTTGTCAAAAGGGATTAAAAGTATCAGATCGTTGTTGAAATCTCGCATTAAGCGATTGATATGTAATATGAAAACCGTCTGCCCTTCTGTCTTCAATAAGAGAATTAAATAGATTACACGATCAGTATGTACTTTTCCCATCTGAAGGTAATAACATTGTCTTTGTTTGTTTGTTTGTTTGTATGTTGTTTAACGTCCCTCTCGAGAATTTTTCACTCATATGCAGACGCCACCACTTGCCGGTGGAGAGCTGCAAATTTTGTCCTATACTCGACACTTACGGCCATTGAACAGTGAGAGATCTTTTTCGTGCCAGCACTTACTGCGACACGGGACCTCGGTTTATACGGTCTCATCCGAAGGACCAGTCTCCACGTCCCACAGTGGGATTCGAACCCGCGAAGTAAGGATCAACTCCTTACTCCGCGACTCTAGAGCAGACGCTCTAACCACTGCGCCACGCGGGCGACTGTCTTCGTTTGTAAGGCTCATTATTTTTATTGTATTTTAGAGAAATTTGGATTTAATCTGCAAGTGGTACTCCAATTTATATCCAAAGCACCATTTCTAAGGAGGAAATTTTTCAAAATCATATGTCGGTTTTAAATATTTTTAATTTTCCCAACAATCAAAATGAATTTGAATTACCATTCATATACTGGATTCCTTAACTTCATAAAAATCCTTACAAGCAGAGATACATAGCAGATTCCAATACATGTTCTACAAAGCCTCTTTCTTTACTCCTCACTAAAATATTAACAGCAGTGCAGGAGAAATTTCAGGAGTACTGCATAACAAAGTGGTGTAAATCAGATGTGGATACTAAAAAACTCCAAGGAACTTTTAGAAAGTTCGAAATCAGAAAATTTTACCAAAATCAATAACACTAAAACGTACTACTTTTCAACACTTTTTACAACCATTCCTTAGGATAAATTAAAAACTGGGCTTTTTGATGTCATAGGCAACTGCTTCTATAATAAAAAAGGGAACTCGGAAATTTTCACACCTTGTGATTAGTCATCAACAAAATTACTTAGTTAAAAATCACTTTGATTCTATCCACAAGTACTTTGAAATTGATATTAAAAGGATACTGGAGTTCCTCATTTTTATATTCCTGTGAAGCAGAATTTATTCAAAAGCTTCTACATGCCGTGGCCATCAACTCGACATCCATATAAATCGACGACGTTTAATTAATTAACAATAGTAACTTCCTATCATGTGTCGACTTGATATATCCCAGTGAACTGAAAATAAAATACACCACAGAGTCTACCACATTTGTTTAAATATTCTGATGTTTTACTGACTATAGACGACAAAGGCCAATTAATAATTAAATTGTATGACAAACGATCCTTCAGCTTTTTCCGTCGTCAACTTTCTTATTAATATGTAGTAATATTCCGCTATCACCTTTCTATGGTGTTTAACTTATTCGCTACTCAAGAGCATTCTCTGAATATGGTCAATTTTTAAACAGGCGCAGGCTTCTCACATATAACAACCTCGTTTAAAGTCAGCATTTCGTAAATTCTATGGTCGTTATAATGACCTTCTTGGCAAATTTAACCTATTACTGATCATATTATGGCTGACTTGTTTCATACCAATTCTTAGACCTTTGTTTTTGTACTAAATTTGACTACGGAGTGTTCCGTCTTCTTGATCAATACTTTTACAAAGAGCTCACGGCGTGCCTGAACGATCGACAGGACAGGGGATGTTTACTCCTCCAGGACACCTGATGCAACCTCTGGAATTTCCAGGGTCCGTGTTTTATGCCTTGTTTACAGATTTGTATTTTTTAAAAAAGTTTTTATGAGATTGATCACGGTTAGTTAACTTCACTTTTTTTTTATTAGTTTAGATACTGTAATTTGCAGTAATAAAACAATATTACTCATTAATTGTGGCAAGGCTTCACCGTCAGGCCATCCACCAAGTATTGCGAGATTATGAGTGGTAAGCCTCAATATTAGGCCATCCTTCAAACTAACCTTACCTCCATATTACTATTATGTCTTTATATTATGTGTTATTATATTATGTCGTTAGATTAAATGAACCCCTAGCTTAGCTGCACTCGCTTATATACCTTCATTTTAGTCCACGTGATTTTCTACTTGTAGTCTCTAGATCCCCAGAGATCGACTTGCATATTCTGAATAATTGAAGTAAATAATCGTTATATTTCTGTCAAATCGTTATTAGCTTCACTTATGAGAAGTAAACGTGGAATCCTTTCAATGTAAAGCCACAGAAAGGGTTCAAAATTTCAACAGATGATAGATATTCAGTTAAATTATCCTTTATATACATTGTATATCCTAACATTACTTTTTGCAGTTGACATGCGGCATCGGTTTATAATGTAGTGATTGAAATTGTTGAGAGGAAGATTTTTTTTCTCATTGCGGACTGGGATTTTTATGATACATGTAACCATATTGTCAGAAAGAAAATTGTAAGCCAGGTTGCCGTCTACAGCTCTCTTTTATTTATCCTGTATTTTTTGTGCTTTTCAGGTGCACATTTTGGATGTAAATGACAATGCACCTGTATTCTCAAAGGACATATACAGAAGCGGTATATGGGATGGTAGTAGAGTTGGACAGGTTGCGATGCGCCAGATCAACGCATTTGACGCTGATGTAGGGAGTAACGCTGAATTATCTTACAGCCTTGTCCACTCAAATAACCCGACCTGCCATAATTTATCCATTGATCCTAAATCGGGTGTGATCAGGGTCGCTCATCAGCTTAATGAAGAAGGGGCTTTCCACATATCGCCATGCAAAGCAAGTGTTATTGCTACTGATGGAGGTGTACCCCCATTATCGTCGACAGCAAAAGTCATAATTGAGATTGTAACCATAAATGATATTATATAGTTGAATTAAATCAATGATTATGTTGTTTGTATATGTAGTATCCTTACTGACATACCTACAACCGGGTTTTCGGGTCTTTCTGTTGTGCAAGCAAGGCATGGACACGATTACTTAAAAATGAAATCGATTAATAATCGTTTACTTAAAGGAATTTTGTGCAATCGATTATTAATCGATTACAGTCACTTTTTCTTGCAATTGATTAAATCGATTGATAATCTATTACTTCCAAGTTTTCTTTCCCTCAAATATCAATTGAAAGCAGAAAAATATTAAAATATCATGTGGAAATGTCGATGTGTGAGTGTGTTCATTTTGTTCAGTTTCAGAGATTTTCTGGTGTAATTTCATACTTTAGACCCAACATGCTCATTGAATATTTGAATGAGGGATTCTTTACCATGCAATATGGAGACAATGTTCCCGCAGTTAAACGCAGCAAGGATTTAATTATTCATTCGATTTTGGATCTGATCCTCCATGTTCATTGACTTTCGTAGCTGAAATTATTTAATATTTTGCTGTCAGAAGAATTTGGAAAGCGCGCATGTTTGCAGTTCAAATAATTACATTTTCTTTTCAAAAGTAATCAAATTAGAAATCTTAGTAATAAACATGTGAATTGAATGTGCCTTTAACTAAAACTATAATTATGTTTCTCAATCGAAGTTTGGGAACATTTTGTTTTTACTCTGTTTCTTATTCTTATTATACTCTTTTTAAGGTCTTCAGTCTTCAGCGGAAGACCTTCATGTTTCTTTTCCACTGTTTTTGTTATTTTTTCTTACCGATTTTGTGCACGCAGTTTCTCGAAAACGGCTCCCTCGACTTTCGTGAAACTTTCAGGCCTGATAGAACATCAGAAAATCTAGGCATCTAATTTTTTTTTGTTTTGATGACGTCACTTCCGGTGACGAGATTTCAGCATTTTAGTGAATTTTAGAGGGTTAGTTTGTCTGGGCGTTTTCTCAGAAACGGCTTAAGATAGAAACTCCAGATTTTCAGTGATGATAGGCAACATATGTAGATGTGACAAACGTATTTCGTTTTCATCGGAAATGTTGCGCACCGACGCTCGCTATGGCCCGGAAAAAGTCCTATCGGGAATGTCAAAATTTCTAACACTTTTTCTACAATATCTTTTTACCTGTAAATACTTTATTAAAACATATTAAATAGAAGTTGTGCAGAATGTCACGGTCTTCCAAAGGATATCAACAATAAGGGTCTGGCCCCTAAAAATTGGGGAGCTAGAGGGGCCAAAAGTGTTTTTCTGATATCTCAAAAAGTACTGACAATTTGTAAAGCATCATAACAGGAAAGTTGTTCGGAATATGTACTGGTCCCAGCTGACAAAGTAAGTAACAGCATTGTCTTGCTTTTGTTTGTAAGGCTCATTCTACTGATTGGATATATCCCCTCTGAACTCGAGATAAAAATTACCAAAGAAGTCTGACACATCTGTTTCATACGTGGATATTTACTAGAAAAGAAAGTGAATGGTAACCTACCAACAAAATTTTATGATTAACGTGATGACTTCAACTTTTCTACCGTTAACTTCCTTTTCTATGTAGCAATATACCCTTATCATCTGTATATGGAGTTTATGTCTCCCTGTTGATTCGATTCACATGCTCTAATGACGAACATGTTCTAAACCAGGGCAAGCTTTTGACAAATAAGTTGATGAAACAAGAATATGTAAAGTCTCACTTAAGGTGAAATGTACCTCTGCTCGATTTTTTTTTTAAATTTCCAACATTGATTTTCATCAACAACAATAGCATAAGATTCAAACTGAAAATAGTTTTAAATATGAAGCATTGTTTACGTTTTCAGAAATGAACATTATGTCTAGTCATAATATGAAGAAAATTTGAGACAGTGAATAGAAAGATCAATATTTTTTTTTTTATCTCAACATCAAATTAAAAAATATCAGGTATAAATATGAAAATAATATTTACTGCTATACATATATAATTCATGTAGTAGTTACCGTATAAGTTTTTATTGGTTTTCTCTAGATACCTATAGGGAGGTTAAAAGGTCACGAGAAGGCGCAGCCTTCGAGTGACCTTTTAACCTCTCTATAGGGTATCTAGAGAAAACCAATAAAAAACTTATACGGTAAGTCACATGTACCATAGCACTCTCATATTTCCTAATATGGCAGAGAAATGATGTATAAGTTGCAAAAAAATTTCCTTATATGGTTTGTCACCTGACATAATTATAATGGCACGCGCTATACACTGTACATATATATTACATTTTATTGCGCATTTTGCGCATTTGCAATCAAAAATGGATGAACAGAACGCGACGAGCATGGATCTCGATTTTCTGGAACTGGCGCAACATTTTGAATATAACAATTCTATCGATGATCAAACGCTCTCACAGATAGAACAGTTGATAGAGGATGAAGTAAACGTGTTTGATGGTATTGGGGATTTATCTCTTACTCAAATAGATTTTAATTTGACCCAGGAACCGGTTAAACCCGAGAATGTTATAAAGCAGTTGGACCATTCTGACGATCGATTTGGAAAGTTTTACGATGACGACGATATGGAAAACCTTCTAAAGTCTACCGAGAGTAAAAACACAAGAAAAAACACAAGCTGGAGTGTGAAAACTTTCAAAGAATGGCGATCTGCACGTATCTTCGGTACCGGAAGTGAAATTCCAGAGCTTGAACATTTAATCGAACCTGCACTCATTAACAAATGGCTAGGTAAATTCGTTGTCGAAGCTCGCAGGAAAGATGGCCAGCCATATCCCCCAAAATCACTCTACATGTTATGCATTGGAATACTAAGATACTTTCGGGAATGCGGCATACACGAAAATTTTCTTGACGAAAAAGACTCAAAATTTTATGAATTCCGTCGCATTCTTAGTGCGCGAATGAGTGAATTAACGGTATTAGGAGTCGGAACTCGTCCAAAACAAGCGGAACCCATAAGCAAAGAAACTGAAAATGAACTATGGGAAAAGGGATTACTCGGTGATTGGACTGGAAAAGCGCTTTTGAATACAATGTTTTTCTACATTTGTAAGCTGTTCGGCCTCCGTGGCGTCGATGAACACAGGGGGATGGAGATTGACCAAACAGAGCTAGGAGTCGACCGGTATGGACACTTTGTAAAGTTTAAAGGGAGATCAAACAAGACGTTCAAAGGTAGGACTGCAGTTTATATGTTTTGTGTTATTTATTATTCAATAGTTTTCCTATAATCATGTACAGTTAATAATGAATGAAAAATATAAATTATTCAGTATACACGATAAAGTGCGGGGGGGGGGGGGGGGTTCAATCAAGGAGTATTAAATAATAGAATTACGTTTTGTTTTGAAGGAGGACTAGCACAACGCCACGTACAAGCCAAGGAGATGGTGCATCATTTCCAAAATATGATGTTGTACAACATGTACCAAAAATACATTGAAATTATTACCAAGTGCGGGGAAAGTCGTGCGTTTTACCGCCGAGCCCTAGAAAACGGCCCAAACAATGAATTGCGGTTCAGCCAACAAGCAATCTGTGTGAATAAACTAGCTGTCATTATGAAAACAATTTTTCGGAGGCTGGAATTCCGGGTTATTTTACGAATCATTCTGGAAAGCGCACTCTAGCCACAACCCTCTACCAAGCAGGCGTCCCAGAGCAAGAGATAATGGAAAGAACTGGCCATCGCTCGGTTGAAAGTGTGAGAAAATACAAACGACCGTCCACTGTAATGTTGAAGGATATTTCAAATTTGTTGGAGCCCCAGCAGTCGGAGCAAATGGATATTGTTAACCAAGAGCCGCCCCAAAAAGTTATTAAAAGTGAGGAAAATCGGTGTGATCCTCCAGCTTCCGCCAGTCATTTTTTTTTCAGAACTGTACAGTTTATTTTAATAAACAAAAAGGAAGTTTTTAAAATGGATATCTCGTAAACCAAGATATTAACATTTCTGGTTGAAAGATATCGACCTTTTTTTTCTTGTTTTTTTTTCTTTTTGACAACATATTGTGTATATGTACGTGGAACGTTATTAAAGATTTTAAATAAATTTTAATTGATTTCGTATGCAATGCAAGGCTCCGCCTATAGGTTATGAAGGCTCCGCCCATGCATGGGTTATGGTGTAGATAACCCATAGTTAAAACAAAAGAAAACATGGCGGCCTATGGTACATAATATCATGCCACAGTTTTAGAAAAGTAGATAATTCTTTGGTTTGTTCTCCTTAGACTTAAAGAATGAAATACTTTCCATATTTCCACCAAAAAGGACAACTAGGGTAATCGTGGTAAAATTGTTTAATCTTCATTCATTTACCCTCTTTTTTCCCTTCAAAAATGTTTCTAAAGGATCACATAGTGAACTGATATTACATTTACTCAATAACCTGATGTTTTTTCTTACATAAAAGAAATGACACTTGGAAAATATTAGTTGATATTTTAATAAAATTACAAATATGGAAAAACTCAGTAAAGGTTTACAGATGAAAATAAATTTCAGAATATGTTGGTTTGGTGCTAAAAGTGTAATATAAACTTTTTAAAAATATACCAAGTGAATTTTATGAGGAAAAGCAAAATGGTAAAAATCACACTTTTCTAAAACTGTGGCATGATATTAAGTCTCCTCCAAAGAAAAAAAATTGTTTGTATCATCTGTCCTTAATATAAGTAATATGCCTAAGCACAAAAGGGTCCAGTCTTGTATTCCACCATATTTCAAGTTGAAGACTACACCTTTTATTTCCTACAAATATATACATGGACTATTGCTTAGAAACTTTTTAATTACAAGAAAACTTTACAGAGCCTGGATATTGAGCTTCTGATACATAATACTCCTTCCTGTTCATGCTCTTCTTCACCCTACAACTATAGTCCTGCTGGATACATTATTAATTTAGTTAATAATGAGGACCTTAGATTTTAAAAGGGCCAAAATTTAGGGAGCTCCGATCTTTTAACTGGCGTCAAAATTTCATAAATATGATGGATTCTGTGGAAGAGTACACCAGGCGATTTACAAGACATGAAAAAGATCTTGACACATTGTCAGAATGGATTAAATGTATCAGATGTATGTTAAAATCTCGCATTAAGCGATTGAGGGGCAAAATGAAAACCAACTATCCTTCTGTGTTCAATAAATCAGAAATGAAAAAAGAATTGAATAGATTACACAATCAATATGCACAGGTCCCTGCTGACAAAGCAGGTAATAACATTGTCTTTGTTTGTAAGGTTCATTATTTAAATTGTATTTTAGAGGAACTGGGATTTAATTCAACAAGTGGTAATCCAACTTATACCCATAGCTCCCTTTCTAAGGAGGAAATTCTTCAAAATCATACGTCAGTTCTGAATAATTTTAATATTCCCAACAACCAATATGAATTTGAATTACCATATCTATATTGGATTCCGAAACTTCATAAAAATCCTTACAAACAAAGATACATATATAGCGGGTTCCAGTAAATGTTCTACCAAGCCTCTTTCTTTACTCCTCACTAAAATATTAACAGTAGTGAAGGAGAAAGTTCAGGAGTACTGTGCAACAATATATTCGATAAGTGGTGTAAATCAGACGTGGATACTTAAATTCCAAGGAACTTTTGGAAAATTTCAAATCACAAATTTTTACCAAAACCAACAACATAAAAACTTACTACTTTTCAACGTTATATACAACCATTCCCCACGATAAATTAAAGTCCAGGCTTTTTGATATCACTGACAGCTACTTTTTGAATAAAAATGGAACTCATAAATTTACTTACCTTGTCATTGGTCATTTGCAAAATTATTTTGTTAAAAAAATTCTGATTGTACACACAAGTTCTCTAAAGTTGATATTAAAAACATGCTTGAGTTTCTGATTGACAATATCTATGTGGTTTTTGGAGAACAGGTCTTCCAACAATCTATTGGAATTTCCATGGGTACCAATTGCGTCCCGTTATTGGCATATCTATTTTTGTATTCATATGAAGCAGAATTTGTTCAAAATCTTATACGGGAAAAAAAGAAAACACTTGCTGTGTTCTTCTTGTCAACTTCAACTCGAAATTTCGATATATCGACGACGTATTAACAATTAACAATGGTTATTTCCTTTCTTATGTCGATACGATATATCCCAGTGAGCTTGAAATAAAAGATTCCGCAGAGTCTGCATGATACATCTGTTTCATATTTGGATATTTTAATAGAAAAAGACGTTAATGTTAATCTAACAACCAAACTTTATGATAAACGTGATGGCTTTAACTTTTCAATCGTCAACTTCCCTTACTTTTGCAGCAATATACCTTCATCACCTGCATATATACGGGGTTTATATCTCTCAGTTGATTCGATACGCAAGAGCATGCTCTACATATGAGCAATTTCTAAAACGAGGTAAGTTACTGACAAACAAGTTGATGAAACAAGAATATCAGCAGTCTCGTTTAAAGTTGTCATTTCGTAAGTTCTATGGTCGATACAATGACCTTGTCAGCAAATACAATTTATCATTAAGTCAAATGCTGACTGACGTTTTTCATACTAATTGTTAAGCCATTATTTACACACTGTATTGTCGACGGATTTTTCCGTTATTTCCCGATCATGACTCCTCTATGGCACCTGATCCCACCTCTGATGTTTTAGAGGTCCGTGTTTGCTCTGCTCCATAATTTGTATGTTGTTTAATGGACTTTTGAGCTTGAATACTGTTCGTTATCTCCATATATTTCATGCATCAAAATTAAGGGACATCCATTTATTTCGTATTGATTAATTAATACCTTATGCTTAAATCAGCGTACACATATGTATATAACAGATTTAAAAATTTATCATATACTTTCCAGTTAAGCTGAATTAAAATAAAATGCTCGTGTTGTAGCATTTATGGCAATTTCTTTTAAACCTTGCATTTGTAATAACAAGTTCAATAATAATATATATCGTGTCTAGTAATTTCTAAAAAGTTTAATCGTTTGTTTGTTTGTTTTGAATTTCATTTCAAACTTTTATCTTTGGTTCTTTTCTTTTTGTTCTCATTTTTTTCCCTTTGTTTTTCGTTATGTCCCTTTTTTGTCAGTTTTTCCCAATTTCTTCTTGGTTCCTTACTACTAATTCGTTTTTCTTAAATTTTATTATTATTTTTTTTTTTTTTTTTTTTAGTGTTTAACGGTACCTTAATAACTGTATATCATACAATGTTAAAATACATCTTATTATGTCTTAATTGCTGTCTATGTAAGCCATACTTCAGAGAACAAGAGAACACACTTGTTTAGTCTTTGGTTTTGACACGAGTTTTCTCCCTTTTTACGGAGTCAAAACCACGTAAGAACAATAAATGCATTTACATTTATTTGTTGTGTAAGTTGTTTTTCTGCTGTTTACTTAAAAGAAGATTTTTTTCTTCGCTTGTGTGGTAAATATTTATATATATTTGTTCTTGTTTAGACTCTCACCTGTGTACAGGTAAGAAATCAACACAATAAAAGCCTTCAAAAAATCATATCGATTTGGTGGCTGTTGTCTTTGCCTCCCTAATTGTGGGATATCCATAAATTAACTATGTTTAATAAAACGTAAGTTTATTGTAACACTTACTCTATGTTAAGTAGAGGAAATACCACGATTGGATACGACAGTTATGGCCAAGATACGTTTTTTCTACCTAAATACGTGTAGTAATCCTCTTACGAGGGAGGTGCATAGACGCGCATGTCACCCTCATTGAAATCAAAGCACTTCGCCGAAGGATAAGCGATACTTAGATTTGTCTATGTCCAGCATGTTAAGAAAATGGTAACTTAAGAATTATCGTCAGAATATCGACAAGGATGGAACACTTTTAATGTATGAGATTTTGACAGTGTGTAATGATTCGAAAATGTGTTAAATTTAGAGATTCACCTGTGTCGCATTTCTTGAATAGAATTCAAGAGAAAGAAAAATGGGTGTCGATGCGTCAGCGACCCGACCTATAATTTGGTTGTGGGGATTTTCTGTGATTATGGTGCACATTCCCGAAGTGACGAGTTTGAGTGTAAGTGTTCAATGGAATGATATTCCGCTAGGAGGAAAGGACATTTTTAATGTGTCGAGCGCCGACAGAAATTGGAATTACAAACATGATAAAATATATAATTCCAAATACAGAAGTGAAGAATCGGGTGTAGTAATAAGAAATGGTGCTGTTATTATGAAATCTAGTGTTCCTTGTGATAAAATAGAAAATCCTTCAGAAATCCAGATTTTATCCTCAAGAGACAATAACAATGCAAATATCGTGTCATTGTTTCCATTGGAAATCAGCATACAAGGCAAAAACTGTCTCATACCAAAACATAGGAAAACCCATAGAAGGAGGCAAAGGGATAAAAAATATCGTATCATTGTAAAAAGCAAAAATTTTCATTTTAATTGGTGCTTTCGAAAACATGACACTGTGCTCAATTTTGGGGCATTATTGCCAGTAACGCTGCACAAATGTGAGAAAGTTAATTTTCATCCTAAAGAACCAATATCATTGATCAGTTTTGATCAGAAAGACAGGTCATTGTATGCACTTCAAAAATTTTGTACGCCATCATCACGTTTTTCAGTATTTGGTCATTTGAGTGTTAAATGCTCTAAATTATCCCAAGTCGTAGAAATCCCAGTAAAAATAATATTCAAAAACCTGCTTGAGTTTCAACAAAAATCTTTACCATCACCCAGTCAAAATCATCATTTACGGATTCGTAGACAAGTAATAAACAATGCTCCGAAATTTCCACAACTCACCTACTCTGCCAGTGTACAGGAGAAACAAAATCCTGGATACCATGTGATAACCGTCACAGCAACAGATAGTGATAGCGGGGACAATAGTGTGATCACCTATAGCATGACTGCCCAAAATGACCAACGGAGCAAGGACATGTTTGCCATTAACCCTGTGACCGGTCTTGTCAACACCACAGTGATGCTAGATCGAGAACTGATTCCAAAGCATACATTTGCAATATATGCTACAGATAACGGATATCCTCAGTTGTCTGCTATGGCCTTGCTCACCATCACAGTTTTGGATATTAACGACAATGATCCAAAGTTTGAACAAAGTGTATATTATCAGGAAGTAGCTGAAAATCTGCCGGTTTCTTCTACTATCATGACAATAAAGGCCACTGATTCTGATGAAGGAAGAAATGCTGAGATACGGTATCGCATAATAGAAAATCAGCAATCCTCAGCTTTCATGATAGAGCCTATCACAGGTACAATAACAACTCGGGCTGTACTAGATCGAGAGAGTAACGCCTCTTACCAGATTCTAGTTCAAGCTACAGATCAAGGTGACGTAGCAAACAGGCGATCATCGACAGCCACTGTAAACATTGCTGTGTTGGACGAAAATGACAATTACCCACAATTCTCACAGAAAACTTATTTAGTGAATGTATCAGAGGACTATAACTTCAACATGAACCTTGCCATTGCCAAAGTGAGTGCCACAGACAGAGACCTAGACAAAAATGGCCAGATAACCTACAACATTTTTGGGGGTAATACTTTCGATACCTTCAGGATTGATGCTGTGACTGGTGAGATCTCGGTTCAGAAGCAGTTGGATTACGAGACGACTAAAGAATACAGGTTATCCATTCAAGCTCAGGACCAGGGTGAACCACCCAAAACCAACACCACTGATGTCATCATTAAGGTCATTGACGTAAATGACAATTCACCAATATTCCATGCAGCGCCCTATCGTGGTAATGTTCCCGAAGATGCCCCCATAAATAGCACAGCTGTAGCTGTACAGGCTCAAGACAGAGATGACGGGCTGAATTCCCTGTTAGTATATTCCATTGTTAACCCTGATGAGAATTTGCCATTTTGGATTGATTCTGCTACAGGAGATGTCAAGGTCAAATCAAAATTAGACCACGAAAAGCATGAGAGTTATAATTTTGTGGTGATGGCAAAAGATCAAGGAACACCAGTGAAGTCTGATACCACAAGTGTGTTTGTGACCGTAAGAGATATAAATGACAATGCTCCTGTATTTTCTCAGAAGATTTACAACCAGACTGTTTCAGAATCTACTGCTACAACAACTCGGATCATCAGTGTCTCTGCGTCAGACGAAGATAGCAATGATAATGCATACATCACATATTCCATCGTCAGTGGAAATGTGGGTAACACCTTTCAGATAAGCACTATAAATGGAGAGGGTATGATCTCTTTGCAAAGAAAACTGAATTATAAGGAACAAGCCCAATATCTGCTGGAGGTCAGAGGTACTGACCTTGGTGGCTTGTACGATACAGCACAGGTCAGAATATATGTCCTTGACACAAACAAATACAGACCACAGTTTCAACACACACCATATAAAATTGAGGTCAGGGAAAATGTTCCGGTTGGATCTTCAATTTACAGAGTTTTGGCCGTGGATCAGGATGTTGGAGAGAATGGAAGAGTTGCATACCGGCTTGGGCAGGGAACCAGTGGCTTTGAAATTGATGAGAATACTGGAGACATTAAAACTCGTGTGAAGTTGGACAGAGAGACAACCCCTAGTATGTCTTTTGCTGTGGAGGCCCATGACCATGGTCAACCCTCAATGTCAACTGTTGTCATGGTGCATGTAAGTTAAACTCCTAAAATTGTTTCTTTCAAAAGTTCTTTTTGATTTTTGATGTAAGGTACAAATCTTTTTATGTAATTTTATGGTAAATTATGATTGGTGACGATACCTCTTTTCTTATTCATTTTCAAATTCAAATGTTTCATAAATTTACTTTTAATGGTAAATTTCATTGAATTAAATTGACAGTGTTAGACAAATGAGTTTCATAGTACTTAATTCTTTAATTTATGCATGTGAATTGTGTGTTTATACATTTCTTGTATTTGCAGGTTATAATTTTAGACGAAAATGACAATGTCCCTCGTTTTACCCACGACAATTTCACTGGCAGTATAGTGGAGAATGCTGAAGTTGACAGAAGTGTGATGCAGATCTCCGCAACAGACGAGGACAAAGGGAACAATGCTAAAATATCCTATAGTCTAGTTCACTCTACAATTCCACCCAGTGACCACTTCTCCATTGACCCTGTGTCGGGTGTGATCAGGGTTGCCCAGAAGCTTGATCGTGAGACAGTGGCAGTGTACAACCTGAAAGCTGTCGCAACTGATGGAGGTGTTCCTCCAAGGTCATCAACTGTGGGTGTCAGGATAAATATCATAGACATCAACGACAATCCTCCAAAGTTTCCATCAAAAGAATTAGAAATCAGGGTTCCAGAGAATACTCCGGTTGGCTCTGTGTTGATGAAGGTTTCAGCTACTGATCCGGATGAAGGTGAAAATGCACAAGTGGAGTATGAAAAGATACCTGGTCTGGATGCAGATAAATTTGATCTGAGCTATAGACCGGGTGAACCCGCAATTTTGAAAAATCGTGTGGATTTTGATTATGAACAAGGACCTAGGATATTCTATGTCAAAATTTATGCAAGATCAAACCCCTTTTTTGAGGATGCGACCCTTGTGATAATGATTCAAGATGTGAATGATAACAAACCAGAGCTGAAGGACTTTTCTATTATTTTTAACAATTTTGAGGAACACTTTGTTACCGGCCCGATTGGTCGAATTCCTGCCACTGACCCTGATGAGATTGACCAAAACAAACTGAGATACGAGATTCTAGGAGGAAACGAAGCACATTTCCTTGACCTGAACACATCAACAGGGGAACTAACTCTAGACTATCGCTTAAACTCTGATGTGCCCAGAAATGGTACCCTCCAAGTCAAAGTTTCAGGTAAGAACATGAAGAGAGGCTGTTAAATTTTCCTTCATATCTTTTAATTTACTGGCATATATGTTAATTTTACTCACTGTCAATTCTTAAAATTACTGAGAAAACATGCATTTACTATTAAATCACAAGTCCTTTATACAGTGTGTGCTCATAAGAAAGCTAAATAGAATTATTCAGCAGGTAACTTTTGGATATAATTTGAGGAAATTATCCATTTGCATAAATGACATTGTAGTTGGTGCTGAATCATGTGGAGAAGTTTGTAGTTTTCAATAGAGAAAGCTGAGAAGAAGGATTTTAATTTCAGGGTACACTTCACATTCCTTATGTTGGATAATCCTTTGTATATCACGTTTAGCAGATCGTAAAATCCCGTTAAAGCAGACACCTGCACTGTCTTCTTCATTTTGCACAAGTGGAAAAATTTCTTCAGTTTTGTCACATTGTTCGGTGTTTGTTCAGGATATTCCGAAATATTACCCAAGAATGTTTACATGGGTGTATGTATCAGTTATAACTGTTGATATTTACAATAATGGTCAAATTCATAGATTTAATATGTACAATCTTGTATAGGTAATATTTCCATGTTGAAATGTTTTATAAAGTTTTGTAAATATATAAAAATGTCATTTAGCGAAAGATATTGAAAAGGTTCTTCTCTCTTTATGGTCTTATTCAGAGCTCTACTATAAATACTTTTAATGTCTTTTATCCTTCTGAATATACGTCTTTGGATATTTTTACATAATTCCACATCTTGGATTGTTATCATCATGATCATGTTTGTTTCTCGATCCAACAACATGAACAAGCTCTGTGCATGTGCAGTCATTTATACCTACATATGTACTAAAACATGCAAAATGTAGAAAAAAAGTATTTTTCCACTCATAAAAGTTATATATAGTATGTATTTCCATAGTCCAATAATTGTATATTTGAACTATGCTTGGTGCATGAGAAGCAATGTAGTACCCACTGAGAAACATTATATGGCATTGTGTGCATTACTCCAAACATATGATTCAGCCTGATCAATGTACACCCCGGCATGGATATTACCCACGTCTAGCTTTTTTAAAAAGGCCCTATATACAAAATCAATACCATGTGTAAGCCAGTTTATTGGAATGCTCGGTAAATATTTGTGCACGGCTCTATGCTGCTTTTTTAATACTATAAGGAAATTGGGTAAAGTTTACAGGGCAAATTATCCTGAAAAAGATTTTTAAAAGTGTATATTTGCCCCCAGGTAGTAATTATCCATCTGTCCATTGGTACAATCTGTTGGTTTAAAATGGTTTATATGTTTCCTTTGTTGTTGAATAATTAAACAATTAATCATTAAGTGGCTTAATGTAATTAAGGCTGTCAAAAATGTCCATGCGGTTAATTAACTCTTTAAGTATATATATGTTAAATTAAGTGCTTATAAAAATTTTAATTTCATAGCTTACTGAAAATGAAGATTATGGGGTTTTGGACTAAAATCAGTGTAGATCTGAGCAAATATTTGTTTTATCAGTTCCACATGTTCCAGTAAAAGTTATATGTCAAATATATATGTTTCATTTCATTTTGAAAAAATTAGATGGAAATATAATTTTGAAAGTACCATGCTAACTATATGATGGGTTTTGATGGTTACTTCAAAGATGTGCCCATAGTATATTATTATACTGATATATTATGAACACTACATGAAATTCATGTGAATATTGATAATTAGAAAATCCTCTCTCTAGCATTGCCTACTAAATTTAATACCAATAACCTCACTGGACATTATTGAGGATTATAGAGCTGAGCTGATCTATAAAGCTGACCAGGCCACTCTGTGTCAGTAATTGATTGTCCATCTTGTCTGTGGTCAGTGTATACTTTATTGGAAATTGACCTCCAGGATCTGGTCAGCAGAAAGTAATCAATGGGGAAAGTGTGAAGTTTTCTTAATCTCGTTATCACTCTAATTATGAGAATGCAGGTCTCCAATCAATAGTGATTCATTTCCTATATAGCCCATCATACTACCGAGTTTTAACGATGTACTCAGAATTATTTCAGGTAGATATATGTGTGTTTGCACTGTAAAATAAATTAGCATACAATCATATTGATGTATTTAACTTGGCCAGCCCTCTTTAGAAACCTGTCTCTCTGGAGTTATCTGAAACAAATCTGATTAAAATATATCTTAACACTGTACAAAACTGATTCAGACTGTGTTTCTGTATCATATGAATATAATCTGACACAATCTGGGATTATATGATCATGTTTGTGAATAATTTGAAACATCCGTTATGATGCAGAGCAATTCCGATTTCTTAATTTGCATTTTATCATTGTGAACCTGTTTGTGTCGTCAGAATACCAGTAACCTGTTCAAATTTAAACGTAATCGGTTAATCTGGATATTTTCTGTCATGGATCGAATTACTTTTTTTCTTAGGGAACTCAAATTACTTGAACAGAGATTTTTGAAGAGAATTGTCAATCAATTTACGACAATTACATGAGTGGTAAATGGCTGTGAATTAAAGCAAAAAACTAGCATAGAATACAGCAATTTTGGAATTTTAAAGGAGTCATTAACAAACTGTACAGACTGATCTATTATGCAGACCCTCTGAATGGTCCAGAGAGGAAGTTCTTTTGACAGACTTCTTTACACACCTTTCAGTAACTTTTATTGAGAAACCACATTCACAAAGCATTTTATTAGACACCATAAAAATTTTGGAAGCCATTTTTAAATCTATATATCAGAAGTTTGTACAGACTTAAGATTGGAAATAAACAGTTTCTGCCATGTTCACCAAAATGCTGCTCTACAGTTTATTAATATTGACCTGTTTTATATAGTTGAGTTTATGCAGTACATGTATATTAATAGTCCTTTGTATGATGAATTTATTTTGTTGCAAATAAGGATACAATATCTTTGTTGACATTTGTATAGATTGCTCTTGTAAGCATGCAGCATGAAATATACATGTAAATGGGGATTAAATAGTGTAAATATTTTGAAAACTTAGATCTCTTCTTATTAAATTATTTTAATGAGGTTGGGGAGTTAAAAAGTAAGAGGTCGATCAGTCTAATTGTACCATAATCCATGTGATTGACATAATGTCCATTTAGAACTTGAAGATTTGTATACGTATGTATAAGGTAAACTTCATTCACAGTTATGTCTTGATACCCTGATTTGGTAAGATTTTGTCCCTGCTTAGTGAGGATAATCTATACAACTTAATCCCCTGTTTGTTATTTTTTCTCCTACACTGAACATTACTTAGGACTTAGGGCAGGTGGTTGTAGAGGATTAAGGTGAGACCAACTGTTCCTTTATAACAGTACATACAGGTATAACTCCCAGTAATACTACGATCCTAACAGTTTATAATCATAAGTTTAGGTGTAAAGTTGGCATGTATTGGTAGGATAAGACCAATATAAAGGGATCATGCTGTGATTTGGACAAATATTTACTCTAGTACAGAGTGACATTTCATGTTCTAAGATTCTTGAAATGCCATGATAGTTTTATAATGAAAACAATTTTTTTTTTCAAAAATGTGGACATTCTCTTTAAACCATTTTTCACCAATTGTACATAATTAATTTTTTTTCTAATCAAGTAATTCTGATCATCTCTAACTTCTAATTCTCAGTACTTACTACAAGTTTATAATCTTCATTTTTAGGCTATATGTTCAAGCTGGATGCATATTTATATATATTATACAAATATTTCATGCATTCATTCTTCCAAAGAATCTGGATATCATAGAATGCTTTGTTCATCAGACCTTTTTGTTGTCAACAAATATGCTATTTATTTCATGAACCACTAATACCAATACCCTCCCCATGGTCTTGTCCTTCTCGAATAACCCCCATTATCCAGGCCTAATGCACTATTCCATGTTAAATACCCCAAAACAGCATGAAGTACCCCACAGTGCGAGCAAGGGACTTTCCAAAGACAAACAACAAAAGTCCTTAATCCAAACACAGGACATGGTGTGTCAATTCCAAGATCAACACTACCTATGATTTATTAGGTAGAGGTTAAGTCCCGTGTTTATAGGTGTATACCCCAGGTATCTGTGGTGGTTTATAGGCTTGGGTAGAAAAGTCTGGACATGGTTTGCTCTTCCTCTTTATCTCTGGAGAATTTCCACCATATTCTCCGATTATTGATTCCAGTGTGAATCATTGTTTCACATACAGCTCCTGATTTACGATCCTCTGTTTAAACTGATCAGATGTTTTTTGAGGGCTGATATTGTGAGATACTGTTTGGGGTAGTTTTAAAAATTGATGATTGAATTCTAGGCTGAAGCATATAATTTATGATTTAATATTATGTGTTTATGGATGAACACAGTACTAAATTTACAGTCAGACCTCATTACATGTATCTTGAACCCAATGGGACAGAGCAAAAAACTTTGAAATATTAATTATTGAATGATTTGAGATATCAAGGTTAGAAAAAAAAAAGTGGTTGGGACTTTTAACTCACTTGAACATATCCATGATATTCAAGATATCAAAGTTCAATATAACAGATTTTAACTGTATTTTAGTCATCATGTTTCATGTCAGAGGTTTAACAAATACCAACTTTTATTTATACCCCTTGCTAAAATGTTCATAGCTGTGTAACTTTTCAGGGGAATATGTAACTAATCTGAGGGGGATCAATTAACTGAATGATGATACACATGTACCAGGTACGTGTAGTGGTTTGGGCTACATAGACTGGACATCAGTCTGGAAAGCTCAGTGGATAGAACACCAGATTAGTAATGCTTGAGTCCCAGGTTTGATTCCTGGTCTAGCAGTGAGCAATAAATTTTCTGTTATACAGTTGAACTTCGGTATCTCGAACACTGATATCTCGAATACCATGGATAAACATGTCAAAGTGATTTGGAAGTCCCAACCCCTAATTCTTTTAAGTATTTTACCCTGGATATCTTGAATCCTCGGATATCTCAAAGTTTTTTGTTGGTTCCATTCAGTTTGAGATAACGAGGTTTGACTGTATTTGATGCCATTGACCACCCTAATGGACTTGCAGGTGAAAGTTTTGCCAGGGGCTAAAGAATCAAATTTGTGTGTCTTTGAGGCCAAAGACAGTTTAAGGAAGAAGGAGTGTAGTGGTAGGGCTATATGGACCATGGATATTGGCCTGGATAGCTCAGTGGATAGAGCAACTGACTGGAGTAATGAAGGTGTCCTGGGTTCGATATCCAGTCCAGCCATAAATTTTCTAATTTCCTTTTACAATTATTAAGGAAAACTGTAAAGTGTAGACTGGCAAGAAAAGATCTTCATATATTTTTTGTCATGTATTTTTTCTTCTGATGGCTAGAAACTCAGGTATTTAGTTAACAGAGTCTGGAATGAGAATATTCTATAACAGCAAGTAGTCCCTGTGGTGCGGTTGAAGTGAAGACCTTAACAGTAATAAAGATTACAGCACTCTATATTGTCTGGACATAAATACCTGATACCTGATTTAAATGCCCTGTATTAAGTAATGGTCAGTGATTGATATTGGCACACACCCTACCTATCTTTTACATACACTGTGTCTTGTATAACAAACAATTCTGTTAGAGGTGTCAGCTTAGTCTGTATTTGAATAGTTGTTTGGACATTGTTAAAGAGGACAAAGTGAGATCCAGTTTAGTTGATACTTGTACAAGTTCAAGCAAGCTTTACTGTGAAGTCATAAAGAGTACCCACAACTTGATTTATTGAAGAATTTATATCAACTTTCATCTTGAGAGAATCTAAGGTGACTATAAGTACCAAAGTTCTTTCCCCTGGTCAGACTATTAGATGGTCTGTTGTTTTACTGTATGTATTTTGGAATTGTCAGACTCAACTCTGGTTCCAAGATTTTCTAGCACTAATTCAGTTTGTCATTTGGACTCACTTGTAGGTAATGAGTATACATATATCTTTTACACAGATGACTGTGCTTTTGTAAAGTGGACAAGATGGTTAAACTGTATACAGAGTTCCATTCTGTTCACTTTCATGGTCCTGAGACATCACCCACAGAATTTTTAGTTCCGTAAATGTACACTAGCTGAATCAACAATCTAAATAAATATGTTTAGGTCAAATCCACAAATAGTAATTCTTCACCACACTCTAACTATACAATGGACAGACAATTAGTCTGTGTGAGAAAGTTTGTTTTAAAGTACAAGAAATGCAAGGTCCAAGCCTGGTTTCATGCATCGGCCATATTGTTCATTTCAATGAATTTTTTCTTTTCTTATTCATATTTGCTCAGTCTACATTTCTATAATGGCTAGAATTGAAATGTTTCTATGGTGTACCAATAACATCCTTCATGGAAGATTTGTCAAGAATAAGTATATTGTGGTCCTTAACAAAATAGGGAGAATTATTTAAGCTCTTATACCAATTATTCTAAACAGTATCTCTCCAAGACTTCTTTCCAGCTTTTATGTGCATCATTTGATTTTGTTTATTAATTTAAGGCATTGATATTTAAAAGACTACTAACAGAAATCAATCTGATTATACACTGAGAGAAAAGTGGATGGTTACAGCTACATGTATTTGACCCAAAACCAAATTTTAATATAGATCCCTTTTCTTACAAGGTTTTACATTTTGCAATCAAATAAAGCAGAAATTGAATATGAAGTTCAATACAACTTGTATTTTTCAAACAAATATTTTGATACACACACATTGTAAATCAATGTAGTCTATAAAATAGTTATTAGTTTGATAGGTAACTGCATTAATATCTTTATAGACAGCACAATAAGTTTTTGTAAAATCTTTGTAGATGGTATGAATGAGAAGAGAGCAACATGTCGCCTTTACGTTCGCCTTGTCACCAAAGAGATGTTGGAAAAGAGCGTCACAATTCGCCTCAACAACATTACCCAGAATACATTTCTCTCCCCTCTCTACAAGTTCTTTGTTGATGCTCTGGCTTCAGTTCTAAAGACGGAAGAGAAGAATATCTACGTCATCAACGTAGAGAATGATACAGATGTATCCACCACGGTTCTCAACGTCAGTGTCGCCGTACGGAAGGCGGACGGGTCGTTCTATGATGCAGAGGTTCTTAAAGAACAGATTTATCTCCAGAGGATCAGATTGGCTGAGCTTTCTACTCTACAGGTTTGTGTTGTGCTTGTCTTCAGCTCTAAAAAGGCAAAAAAACCATAAACCTTATTACAGTTGAACTTTGGTTTCTTGAACATTGATATCTTGAATATCATGGATATGTAGAAGTGAAGTGGAAGTCCCCAACCACTTTTTCTTTAAGTATTTTACCCTTGATGTCTTGAATTGTTGGATAACCTGAAGTTTTTTCTCAGTACCGTCAAGTTCAAGATAATGAAGTTTGAATGTAGCTAAATGGTATCAAATGGCATAGTATTATTCTTTTCTCTTACCATTTGGTTATAACTTCAAATGATTCCATTAGATGAGGTACAAATCTGCCGCGATGTACCTAGCGTTTCTCTTAATTTAAAAGTGGGTCCTTATCTAGAAGAGTTCCTATCCAATGCAAAGAAAAAAAATTTCTGTCTAGCCCTGGAGTAGATTCTGTATGTCCTGGGGACAAACAATAATTTAAATTGGCATATTACCGTGTGCAGGGGTTTAATTTGTTCACCTTGTAGAAAAAGGAATGCTGATGAATTCAATGTTCTATATCATATGTAATTTAAATCCCCAAACCTTTACAAGATAGTTGGTGATTTAATGCTTTCAATAAATTTGATAAAAATCAGGAGTGAAAACATGAGCACTAAGTGTGCCTCAGAAGTGAAAACGGATAAATCATAAAACTTAAAAGCCATGAAAGCGTGGATCAAAATATTTTGTCGCATTAATAACCTTAGATAAGAATTAAAATCAGTTTTGAGGACTGCAGTATGTTTACATTTAATTTTGTATTTAACTCTCCATTATCAAGTGAAATCTGAAAAGAATTTTTTTTTTAATTGTTAAGTTCAAATGCTTTAACATTTAAGCAAGTATTAATGGGCACTTTAAGTACAGGATGGAAATGTTTGTTTAGGCTGGTCTAAATGACGTCCAATATTTATGGATGTGAGGTTAAAAAAAGGGAATTTTTGTACACACTTTACAAAAGAGAATTTTAATTTGATAAAACCCATTGTAAAATGTTTTGTTGGTATATGACATAGATCTTTGACAGACATAATGTACCTTTATATATTATTAGCATGTAATTATATTTCCATACTTGGGCCTGGGTTTTGTGGATTTTTTCGTATGTAAATTTAATGTTTGTATTAGCATAACCCTTCATAACAGTTCTTGATTTAATATTAATTAAAGAACATTCAATATGATTACAATTTTGTTAATTAAACTGTATACATGTACACATACTAATGACTCCTTTTGAACTCCCTGCAACTGTTGTCTGAGTTTTGGGTTCCTTCTCAAGTTTTATAAAGTGCATTTAAAAGGATGCTTAAATTTTTCATGTGTGATTTTAATTCTGTATTCCAGGTTCTACCCTTTGAAGACAATATCTGTATCCGGGAATTCTGTGCAAACTTTGAGCACTGCATTTTCTATGTGAAGTTTGGTCGCCCTCGGCCTTTCATTCACTCCGACATGATGCTGTTTCGTCCCATTCACCCAGTGAACAGTTTTAGGTGTGAATGCCCCTCTGGATATGCCAGTAAGTGCACAGAAAATAATTTCACTGCTGCTAATTCTACTACAATAAATATATGCTAAATTAATTCCATAACAGTTAGAAAAGTTGAAAATTGTGTCTTCTTTCAGGAGAAAATGATACATGAAATTTTCTGTATTATCATAAGATAGGATACTCAAAATACTAACCATTTTTGTATCAAGAATCCTCACAAAATGATTTATAAATAAAGTTTTTATGAATAAAATGTGACTTGTACCAAGTTGTACAAAGCTGTCCTGTTGTGTGCCGTTGTATGATGATAATGAAGATGCTGATGATTTTACAGTGACTACTGGGGATTACTGTAACATGGAGATAGATGCCTGCTACAGCAGTCCCTGTAAAAATGGGGGACAGTGTAAACGAAAGGAGGGAGGATACACTTGTCTTTGTGCACCTAACTTTACAGGTAAAATATATTAATTTTTACCTGCAGTCAGTCATCCTGAGTAAAGTTAAAACAAGTGACTTAAAGTATTTACAAAAAGGGCTGTTATTTTCCTGATGTGGCTTAAGTGGGCACAGAAAATTGCATTTTATTTAAAGTCACCTGTATCTTTTTCTATTCTAGGTCAAATTTAATGAAGGAATACTGCACGTTTAAAACAAGATCAAATTTAATCTACCTTTTTACGCTAACTTTAATGTGTGATATGACTCTTTTCCTTAAATTAAAACCGGAGCAAATCTTGAGTTACATGAAATAGCGTGATCTTATGAAAAAATCCTGTTTTGGAGCACATTTTCCTGTAATAATATCTTAATGTGTAAGATATGTAAAAGATATGCTCAGATGTGATACAGGACTTAATCCCCCCTCCCCCCCTTTTATGTTATTAACTAGTACATGTACTACCAAGCCATTATAAGTTACAATACTAAATATCACAAAATCTGCTCTTTATCATCATGTGAACTTTTGCGGAACTATTTCTAAGCTAACACATACATATGGAATTTCTTTGTTTTCTCTGCATGAAACGAATCCTCTAAAAAACACTAATTCACGCAATCTAGTGTTTCTATAAATGCTTTCACACTATCTGAACTATAATAGCTACCATTATGTGGAGTAATTCTGGGAGTTCATCGAGACTAAAGGATTGTAGCTTGATCTATTGATTATCTGAAATCTGATACTCCATAACGATCCGCCCAACGAGGCAGAAAAAGTTCACTAGACTGCGTAATCTAGGTACGTTGGGTGAGAGGGCACAGCTATTACACAGAATCTGATCTCTTCTGGACTCACTTGAGCCCCATTATGTCGCAGAAAGCACTGGCGGTGAAACTTCTCTTTCTTGTTTGGCTAAAACTTGATCCTCGACTGAGATATCACTATGGTGAAGGGGAATCGAATGTTTTTATGACTGCTAAAAACTCAGTAGGCTTTAAAAAGTTATTAATACTCTCTCTTGTTTAAATGGCCTGAAGAAGACGTAGAGAAATTTGCTGATTGTGAAACTATTAACTGATAGCCACTTTTTGTCTGCAATACCCAGTTAGATGATGATCTATGTATTTAGTTGTTACATTTGTAATAAAATAGCTTGTCTTACATTCTCTCTATATGATTTACAATATATTGATTAGGACCTTACAAAGGCACTCATTTCATACAAAATAGGTTTTTTTGGTACAGAGAAAACGATATTTTATTGAGCATATAACAGTGAACTCTAGCTATACATGCCAATCATAAATCAATTCATTGATTTACATGAGCTAACAAATATAGCAATTTAAAAACTCACTATTGTATGTCTTCCTTCAGGAGTATAATACTGGTAATGATTATAAAAAATTGATGAACATTTGTAGAACAGTTCACTAGGGAGATACATTTATAGACATTGTCTGTGTGTTGTGACACTGAACCAGACATTTGTTATGACATAAATATTACCACTCCAGATTCAGTATAACATACACCTGGTCACTGTTTCACATGTCAGGTATACAGTTTAGAATCAGGTCATCATATGAACTCGGTGATCAGTGGTGATGAATTAAGAGTGATTTATTCATTTATGTAAACCATTTTTTTCCAAAAGAAAGCACATTACCTTATTAGTAAAACAGAGGGTAACTATAAGCTCTAGTTCATGTTATTTTATTGATTTATAAACAGAAAAGTTCCATTTATTATAATTTCATGCTTTAGTGAACTTTTGATAAGTCAGTCTGATACATAACACTGCTGCATGTCGATTGAAAATAATCTATAAGGTCATTTCAGGAGGTTCTTAATCATGTTAATAATTTGGGCATTTATATCCTTTATTGTATTTTTAGGAAAAAAAATGAAATTCAAATATTGTTTTCTATGTTTGTAGGGGAGACATGTGAAATTAACACAAGGAAGCAGTTTGACATCTTGACATGCCCCCAGAATGTATGTCAGTCTCCCTCAGAGTGTGAGGCCAATCAAAACCAGGGAGGGTTTCAGTGTAAAGGCTGTCCTGCTGAGCCTCATTATGATAAATACTGTCAGCTGACCACAAGGAGCTTTGCCATTGGCTCCTACCTCACCTTCCCAGCATTCAAGAGGAGATTCAGATTTAATATTCAGCTCAAGTATGACATTTTTATGATTATATAAATATTATAACAATCTTAAAGAAAGATTACATTGAATAGATTTATGCTATAGTTAGCATTTCCTAGATTGATTCTTGGATTGAGAAGTGCATAACAGTTCAATCAATCTATAGATGTATTTTAATTTTATAAGATATATGTTTAAACAAAAGTATGAAATATATATTTGATTAGAAAGAAAAATATACTGTAGATGTACTTTTCTCCAGAGGGTCATAATTTTGCAGAATCACAATTTCTGTTGGGTAGAAAATTAGGGGAACTTCTTAGATTGGTCTATATATGACTTACATACATGTACTCTAAGTACTCTGGGACAAATTTCTGTGAAAATTTTTTGACCGTTTACATTCTAAATTAATACAAAGTACTTCTACAGTATATGAAATACTTTCCAAAGGGTAGTAACTTGTATTAATGATTGGAATTAATTAAAATGATTGTTGTAAATACTTAATCTTGTTTCGAATTAACAAATTGACTTCCCGTAGGAAAAGTTTACAGAGAGGATTATTTTAAGGGATTAATTTGATAATCCCTGATTAGATAGGTAGGCTGTGATATCATTCAGTCAACTTAAAAGTCTTGATTTTAACCCAGTTTAATCCCATAGTCAACGTTGACTTAATAAATATCTTACGGTAGGTGAGATACGTTTATAAAAACATCAGGCTGATCTGAATAAACAGTGTTTATTTTAGAAATAGATGATGGTGGACGAAAGATATGGTGAATTAGCTTTGTCCTATTCCTTGTGTAGAGGATTGGAAAATGTAATAGAAAAGGATGTCCATTAAAGAAAACATAAAATGAAGATATTTGATGTTTTTGTGATAAAATTTTTTTCTAGCAATGGTATTTTGTTAGACGTATCACTAAATTAGTGTTTATATTTTGAACGAAAACAAACCTTTGAATATGTATATATACATGTAGATATATAGCTGTTGGCTCAGATTAAAGTAATATATGTGTAATATATACCGGTATGTGTAATTCAAAGTTTCAATTCATTTCATATAAAAATAATTTAGAAGTACTTCATTTAACTGAGGTGGGAATTTAAGTGTGTGTGTGTGTTGGGGGGGGGGGGGGGGGGTGTTAAGCATAATATTTTTCAACATCCATCTCTTTGCATGAACTTTATTGATACTTCTCTATAAATAATAATGGAAATATCCTTATTATACACATGATAAAAATGATTAAATTTCAGAGGTACAAGACATTTACTCTTAGATAGATTAACTTTTCTGTTTGTTGTTATAGATTTGCCACCCAGATGAAGGATGGCCTTCTGTTTTACAATGGCCGATTTAATGACAGAAATGATTTTATGGCTCTCGAAATCGTAGATGGTCAACTACAATTCTCCTTCAGTACAGGAACAAATAAAACATCTGTAAGGTCAAAGGTCGAGGGAGGCGTGTCCAACGGGGAGTGGCAGTTTGTACAAGTGGATTACATTAACAGGGTAAGGGGAGATAAATCAATCTTAAGGTCAGGATCGCCCATCTGAAGTATGTTACTGTAGCCCCTTGACATGAAATTTTTGTAGAGGCATGGAAAAATGCCTGATAGAAATCACATGACTTAAGTTATACCTTGCCAAGGGTTCAAAATTAAGTGGAAATATTGAATTTGACCATAAAATACATTTTAGCTAGTGTGTTATATTATAAGCAAAATTTATTGATAAGTTCCAGTTCTGGTTTTTTAATTTACAAAATAAAAAGTGTTCGAATGAATGACTGCATTTCATTGGTTTTTACAGCCATAGAGGCACTTTTCTTTTTTTTTTTTTGGTCAGTCATTTTGGATTCATACCATGATTGTTCCTGATGTAAGTTATTAGATGTTTTTGTTTGATAACGTAAAAGTGTCTAAAGTTAGGTTTAGTTTCTTTTTTTGGAAAAAAATATGTTGGATAAGCCCCACTTAAATTTGGGATTTCCACTAATGACACACCTGAGTTCCCCTTTATTCCTCCATAAACAGATGAGGGACCAATCTCACACATACGTGGGGCCATCTGAAGATTAGTATTAGTAAGTAATGGACAGTACTCCCGCTACATTCTACTAAATAGGCAATCTTTTTTTCGGCGATGTACAGTAATCATGTTAATAGAATCTTTCGCCATACTGCTAGTCCGCCAATCTGTATGTTTTGTTCTACTCTGTGACTAGATGAAAAAGCTTCGATCCACTTAAAAAATGCCCATTCTACATGTCCACTAAAGATCTAGTGATAATTTTATTAGGTCACCTGAGTCACTCAGGTGACCTATTGCTATCCGTTTTTGTCTGTCGTCGTGCGTCGTGCGTTAACATTTAAACATTTTCAGTTTCTTCTCTGAAACCGCTCAACCAATTTCAACCAATTTTGGCATATAGCATCTGTGGGTGAAGGGGGACAAAAATTGTGAATTTCATGGTCCCTGCCCCCCTGGGGCCTGAGGGGTGGGGCTAAAACCACCAAAATTAATGCAATCTTTAAAAATCTTCTTCTTTACTCCTGGACATCAAGCAGTCAAACTGTTGGCATGATTGTAATAAGCATTGGGCCCTCTACCAAAATTGTGAAATTCATGTCCCCAGGGTCAGGGGTTCTGGTGCTAGGGTGGGGCTATATAGATCATATAGTGAAAGTGCATTATTTCTTTGAAAATCTTCTTCTCTGCTCCTGGGTATTAAATAACGTAACTAAGTACATAGTTATGATAAACAAGAGTGCCTCTTCCAAAATTGTGAATTTCATGGCCCCTGGGTCAGGGGTTCTAGTATTAGGGTGGGGCTCTATTGATTATATAGTGAAAATGCATTAATTCTTTGAATATCTTCTTCTCTGCTTCTGGGTATTAAATAAAGTAACTAAGTACATAGTTATGATAAGCAAGAGTGCCTCTTCCAAAATTGTGAATTTCATGGCCCCTGGATCAGGGGTTCTGGTGTTAGGGTGGGGCTCTATTGATTGTATAGTGAAAATGCATTAAATATTTGAAAATCTTCTCTTCTGCTCCTGGGTATGAAATAAAGTAACTAAGTACATAGTTATGATAAGAAAGAGTGCCTCTTCCAAAATTGTGAATTTCATGGCCCCTGGGTCAGGGGTTCTGGTATTAGGGTGGGGCTCTATTGATTATATAGTGAAAATGCATTATATCTTTGAAAATCTTCTTCTCTACTCCTGGGTATGAAATAAAGTAACTAAGTACATAGTAATAATGAGCATGGCTGCCTCTTCCAAAATTTTGAATTTTATGGCCCCTGGGTCAGGGGTTCTAGTGTTAGGGCGGGGCTCTATTGATTATATAGTGAAAATGCATTATATCTTTGAAAATCTTCTTCTCTGTTCATGAGTAATAAATAAATTAACTAAGTACATTGTTATAATCAACATAGCTGCTTCTTCCAAAATTGTGAATTTCATGGCCCCTGGGTCAGGGGTTCTGGTGAAGGGGGGGGGGACTCTATTGATTATATAGTGAAAATTCATAATTTCTTTCAAAATATTTTTTTCTACTCCTGGTTATAAAACAAAGTGTATAGTTATGATGAGCAAGGATGCTTTTACAAAATTTTTAAAACTTGTGGTCCCAGGGGTTCTGTTGTTTCTCTGAAGGGGGGGGGGGGGTTCTTTTTGATAATATAGTGAAAATGTGTGAATTCTTCAACTAATTGCATAGTTATGATGATGAGGGTACCTCTTCCAAATTTGTAAATTTTCAACATCTTGACCATTTAGTCAAGTGTTCTGGTCCTGGCCAGGGCTCTATTAATTTGTATTCTATTGAGTGAAGTTATTCCCCTTTGCTATTCACTTTTGATAATTAATCACTGTAGATAATGTATTTGAAAGGTTAACAGAATAAGAGAATTATGCAAGAACATTTATTGTATAATATAAAAAGTACTTTTATAGTTTTTAATAATCAGGTAGACTTGGAAATAATAGATAAATAAAAATGAAACAAAAATAACTTATCTTCTTAAGTGTTCTTCAAAGGCCAAGTGAGGCCAATTTGAGGGGTAATAATATAGACATTTTGTTAAAAGTCTGCATAGTAATAGTGATAAATGGGGGACAGATAGAAAGATATCAGACCAATTATTTTGTTGATCTTAATCATACTAATTTTCTTGCTATTGGGCAACAATTAAAGCTTCATTTCAATCTCTCACCAGAGGGCGTATTACGCTTCGCTACAACACCTCTGTTAACGTCTAAATGCCAAGATTCTTGGCAAAACTTACCCTGACTTATTGCATAACAAATTATAAATTTTAAAGTTAAATATTTTAGCTTTAAAATTTAAAGAAAAGTTTATGTATGAAAATTAGAAAGAGATATATCTGTATCCCCGTATCTTACAAGGGATTATTTCTCGGCGGGATATTGCATCACTCATGTAGACAGAATATGAAGAACGTGGAAAATTTAAAACGCATTGCCGACAAATATCAACATGGTTTAGTTTTTAAAGACAAACAACTTGCAGCATTGACACATATACAGAAAAGTGAAGGTTATACGCTTGTTAATCTTCCTGTGATAGAGGCCACGCGTCTCCGCCTTCCATACTACCTTTTAGACGTTGACAGAGGTATAAGTGGAGCGTAGCGGGAACGATAACTCTGGATAGAGATTGGCTTCATTTATCAGTTTATGGATCCTCTAAATTGTTGTACTCAGGTGACCGTTAAGGCCCTTGGGCCTCTTGTATTCTTTTTATCTTCTGTTGTCATTTAAAGTCTGTAAAGGTGTCATTACTAAATCTTCATAAAACTGAACTGATTTGTGGTGCACCATAACATCATCTAATGTCGCTATTTTTTATGTTTTATGTGTACGGGCCACTTTCCATTTTCAAATGCTTGGGAAACTGCTGAAAATTAAACAAATTTGTTGAAATTTTCAAAATGATGAATGTCTTATTAGTCATGTTAGTTAGTGACTTAAAAATATGACAATTTTTATGTAAACTTTATCTATTTGATATTTTTATTTCAAAATAATACTTGACGTGTATTCTTTGATAAAACCCTGATTTTTTTTGTCGTGCGCCATAGGACCATACCCTGCATGTGCATATTCATGTATAATAAAATCCTTATTTTTGTCTATCGTTTATAAAAAAAATTAAGATGTACTTATTTATGATAAAAAACATTTGCCTAAAATTTCAGGCATCATTTTTCAATAAAATACCTTGTCCATGATTTTACTGGACAATTAACCCTTGTAGCTTTTTATATGCAGATGGTACATGCATGTATTGTGTTACGTACATACTGCAAATTCACTGGAATGTTTTTAGAAATTAAAATATCTGGTCCACTTTGCAGTTTAGATCACACCAATACCGTTATTATTAAAAATGCATGCAAAATGGAGAAAGGAGTAGAAAGACATGGATGTAAGAGAGCTATTTTATATTAGCCATTTTCACAGTATTTGTGTTTTTTCAAACTCACTTATGTTATAATGCACTCTGCATCAAAATATATGATTAAACCCTTAACAATTATGACCAAATTATGACAAAATGGTACCCCTAACAAGTTAAATGATATATAACACTCCCATGTTCTAGACAATAAAAATATTAAAGATTTACTACCTAAAATATGGGGTATATTTTGCGTTATGCTGTTGCAGCTGAAAAATGGCTTTGTTTTCCAGTTTTTGTTTCAGGAGATTTACAATAGAAACTCTTAGTTATAGATGTCAAATCATTGTGAAATTATCCCTCTTTTATATGCAATTTACTGTGTGTAAATCAACAAAATATTAGCAAAATTATGTGTAAATATGTGAAAATGCAGATACGTTATGAAATTTAATAAAATTCTACTGTTTGAACTTGCAGTTTAAAAAAAATATATGTTAATGCGTTACTCTTACTTTAGGTTCATTTTAAAATTAGAGTTAAATGATAAATGAAACAATAAAGAAAAGTTTGAGTGGATTCTTCGAAACTTTAGAAAATGACAAATTTTCTTCTTACTGGCATAAAAATGTCCCAAAATTCTGTAGTGTCCGCAACATGTGCTTATTCTGGAATGCATTATGAATTATATTTCTTTTATTTTACATGTAAGAGGCCAGTACAGCTACTAATCTATCTACCAAAAAATATCAGACTTTAGCTCAGTGTTGATTGGAATTCTGGCAAATATATTATGTTTTGTAGAGTCCGCAACACTGTAGAGTCCGCAACAGCTTTTTAAATTCACAGTTTCTTCAAAGAAATGTAACATGATTTCAATTGATCATCACTATAATTGTCCAAATATTCAATACAAATATGTAAGGTTACAAAACTTAGTGGAACTATAACTTCATACTTTGAATAACACCCATAATGACTTGTTTATACATAATATTCAAAATCTTTCAATTGTCAGTCTTATGTTATATATTGAAAGTTAATTTTCATGTGGTATTTAAAACTGAATAAGTGGAAACTAAAGAATATATCAAGATGTTAATTGTTAATTAATAAGTCTAGTTCTAATTAATACAGTTGTGTTGCGGACACTACAGTAATAACTATATACCACATTCATTTATTATTTTCACTTTTTATTTCATTACATATTTTTGAAATGTAAAACACTTCTTTGATATTTTGCTCCTTTGATAATACAATTAGTTATAAACTGGATTAAGATAACAAATGGTGATTTTTGTACAAGATAACACTTCAAACTTACTGGTATATATATGGGTTTTAATTTCCAGGCCGGATAGCCATTTTTGACTAGCCTTTTTTATTTCCCTATAATATAACACCATTTACTGTACATATAGAACTAGTTAGAGATTAAGATTTTCAGTTTACTCCATTAAAACCAAATATGGTGTCATATAGCAATATTTCAATATATTGTCGTGTCCGCAACAATTTCAATACTGAAAAAAATTGTGGATGCCTCAGTAAATTCTTTAATTCATTGAATTTATCTATAAAACTATTTGTTATAACTTCTTTAATTGTATTAAAATAAATAAAATCATAGACATTTTTTAAAAAGTGCAAAACAATTATACATCAAGAAATAATTAATGCTCCTAGTTATGTGGTTATTTTCATCTCAATAAACCACATTCTGCAGCTTTTTATATGGTACATTTTCAAGAGTTGATCCTGTGGTATATAATTCAGCCTAGAAATGAACATTTATCAACAATTATTTTTATAAAAATGACAAAAGATTATTCTTATGGTTACTTGTAGTGTCCGCAACAAAAATGCTATGCATTTTCATAGCTAGACAAGATACAAATGAAGATATCCAGGATGTTATGACAAATGTATTTGAAATTTAGAAGTATTCAATTTAATTTTCACATGATAATTATATAGGTCTTATGTGTGATTGTAAAGGTAGATAAACTTAAGGAAGGGAGATAAATTAGGCCAAAAAATTAGCAAGTCATTAATGTGAATAAAATTTTTGTTTTCAAAGAGAACCATAAGATTTTTCTTTTATTTCACTGCAATTAGGTACATAATCGAAACCCGCAAGAAGTTTGGAATGAATAAATATCTTTAATATTTTATTTTAGACATAACAGGTGTAATGTAGTGTCCGCAACACAAGGTCTCACCCAAAATTTGACTTCGCATAACTTTTTTCGTAAGAATGCTTATATAAAAAAATTTGGGACTCATTTGCATAGGTATTGTACTTTCTAGAAAACATGTCAATAATGTGCTGTTTGACTTTTTATTTTTTGGTCCAAGTGCAACACAATTAGCACAAATACTGTGAAAATGGCAATTATATCTAAGGTTTTATTGTGTGTCAGGTATGGTCTGTGTACCATTTGTGTAAAGTTTGATAATGGTAGGTCTATGTGATGATGACTGCTGTGAGGAATCAATGAGGCTTGCATACACAGAGTCATTCCATTATCTCAGACTGTCAAGCATTTTCTGTGTCTATATAAATAAAAAGATATATATATGGAGGGGGAAACATTTATTCACCTGACATTTTAGAAAGAGAGACCTGGGTTAAATGCCTTGTGGATTTTGAATTTGCTAATAATGGGTACAGAATTAGGAAATTATACATAGCATTTTTGTGTTTTAATGCATTTTGTGAATTGTACCCTCACCAGTAACTAAAGAAGTTCAAATTTGCATAATTCAAAATGTTTTTTTAGGCAAATGGAATAAAATATTGATTTATTAGGCTATTTTCACACCCTATTTACATGATATATATGCTGATTAATGAAAAATGTTAATATTTTTTATCTTTATTGTCACACAATTGCAAGAAATACCTGTATAATATAAATAGGAAATTTAAAAATAGGAAAGGAGTTGGGGTATTTGTCCTGTTGAAAAGGAAAAAGTGAATTAAAATTCACTAAGCATTCATAAGGTTCCAATAGTTTGCACTGAGAGCAATTGATTACTTGCCTAACTATTTGTAAGGTAATTAACTACAGAACAAAACTGATACCGTATCTGATGCAGTGAAGGTATTTTATTGATTTTATGACAAATTTTTCCTTGCACATTCTGTAATCTGAAAATCAGAAAATGAATTGCCAGTGCATTAGTTAACTAGATTTTTTTTTGTTGAGGCTGCCTGATATTGTGTTCAGGGTGTCACTTGAAGTAAATTTATTCAGATGCCAATTTTAACAAAAGAAATATTCAGCAATATGATTCTTGTTTGGAAAACCTAGTTATGCATGCATTCATTCCATTCTTAAAAGTTCGCATTGAAGAAGAAAATGTTTAATAACTGTACATGTTGTAGGTAGAGAGTATTAGATGAAAATAGTGCATATCAATGTCTACATTGTAAATGTAATAAAATCATACAGACTGGAATGTGGTCATTTCTTCATAAATTTGAAACTTAATTTATACGTTGTATATAGACTGTATGTTTTATTAATATCTTTCCACCAACAAGATTGAAGGATTGATTTTGTTGTTTGAATGCCACATATTAATATATATCTGGACATGTCTCTGGCCCCTTGATAGGAATGAACTTCATGTTTATGCCCATAGCCCAAATGAAAGTGCAAAATCAAGGTCATATCTCAAAGTTCAAGGTCACTGGCTAATTAGTTGTTGCAAAATTCTGTGGACTATAACTTTAGAACTCTTTATTGGAATGGTGTTAATCAAGCATGTTGTGTATGGCAAAAATAGGTGTCAGGATCTAGCTCAAGGTCAGTTCTCTGTAGTCAAGGTCAATGAATGGCTTATTAGAAGTTGAATTTATGTTTAATATCTTGTAAATTCAGTAGCTTTCAATCCTTTGCTCAACATTTCACCACAAAATCTTGGTATGTTGTGAATCTTCTTTATATTATATGAAAGGATATTTGTCCATACTTAATGTGCAGAGCAAGAAATGTCCCTCAAAGTGATATTTTAGTATTGCTGTTGGTTTGTAATGAACACAGTATGGGTACTCAGACTGTACATGTAGCACTTGGATTGCATAAAAAAAAAACCTAGAGTGTGATATATTGCATTACCAGAATAATTTAAAAGTGTTTAATTTATTGCATAGTTGCCCTATTTGAAATTGTACATTTTTATGTAATTGTTATTTGTTAGAATTTTTCTGGATTTTAAACGTTTATGCAAAGACAAGAAAAATAAAAATTGTGCCCTATTGAAATATGAATATATATCTTTTTGGCAGCAAACTTTTGAAAAATAGTTATAACTCTAGAATTTATAAATAATTTCTTGCTTTGATACTGATCCTGGTAGCTCTAGGGATTTTAATTGTATGAGGGTTTGACATAACCCATCTGTCACAGCTTCCATTGACCAATATTAACAGATTTCTGTCTTTCTTAGTCATTGGTAGAAGTTTATGGTCTTTGTTACATAACACCTGACATAGAATTTCTGTAATAGCATTCTTCAGAAGGCATTGTTCTATATGGTTTATGAGGGTGTCACAACATTAAGTTACTTTTAGGGGGTGGGGCCTAGGAAGTGATATATTGACTAAGGGTCATAAAAGAAGAGATTCCTGGGGTGCACTATGGGGGTATCTGAGGATATGAATAGTATATAGCACAGGTGTCTGTGCATAATTAAATACCTGTACAATGTATGTATTATATAATGTCACATGTATAAAATACACCTATCTGTATATGCAATAAATATTGATTTAGGATTCAATTACTTTAGTGCACATGGTACATGCTGATTTATATGTTTTGCAGTTTTGAAAAACAAATATTGATTGCATGTACAGATAATGCATTTTGCTTCTTTGTCAATCACTGGGACTTTGATACCAATATCTTTCATTAATGGCACATCTTAAAGACAACTTTTTTGCATTTTTTCAGAACCCAGTTATTTTACCTTACTTAATTTTTCAGACTGTTACATTATCTGTTGGGGAGGAATGTGATACACAGATAGGGGTTAAGTATGGACACCTGATATCAGATCATCCCTGTGCTGTGCAGACCACCTTTGAAATCCCGGACATGTAAGATTACTGGGACATAATTAATGTTGCACTGAATTGATTTTGATGACAGAAAGCTTCCATCATTGATGATTAACTATAATCTAGTGACAAAGATTAAATGATTAAACCTTGAATCTTAGACTGTTAGAATGCAAATCTTTTATTAAGGCAATTTGTGTATTGATATTTGTATGAGAGAGATAAAATATGGATATATTCTGGAATGTTTTATTGTGCACAATATGATTGAGTTTCTAATCTTAGAGATAATAAAATCAATTAAATTCAATGAATAAAATATTAAGATCTTTTGCTATGAGACTCTTTTAAATGAGATATCATCTTTAAAAATTTAATGATAAAAGCAAATATAAATCTCTCTGATTCCCCCCACATCCCTCCTCCCCCTCAATTTGAATTCATTTACCATAAGTATAATGACCAGTATTTGTCTCTTGTAGATGTTACACCAATGTGGTACCTCAAGTACAGTGTCCAAAGTTCCTAGACCTGAATGGACCCCTACAAATTGGGGGTCTCCCAAATCTTCAGACTCAGTTCCAGACAGAGAATCGTAACTATAAAGGCTGTATCAAGGACTTCTACATAGACCACAAGCTTCTGGATCTGAACAAATTTGTTCTGAACCAGGGAACTGTAGCTGGCTGTGCAGAGAAAACCAACCAGTGTATATCTGCTCCTTGTAAACATGGAGGTATGTGCACTGAAAGACTTGTTTTTGAGCAGAATATTATGGCTATTTTTTCCTTGTTTTATTTCATTTTTTAAAAGTTTTGGGATATTTTATGGAAGAATCCTATAGAATTTAGAATCACTTGTTCAAGAGTTGAGATGATACTGTATACAGGGAAAATTTGCCCCCATATTATATTCGCCCTCTTTGCCCTTGCTGTATGGGCAAATTCAAAATGAAGCATACTCAATTGAGACATAGTTTTATTCTTGCTGAGCACAAGTGTGACTGGGTGAAAGTAAAATAGAGCAAAATTGTTGTTCCGTAGGTGTGATAGTTTGAAAATAACCTGGGACAAAAATAAAATTGCAAACAGTATGAGCATCTTTTTCGGTAAGAATCATTGTACTTTCTGTCCACCTGATTGCAACCTATATTTCCTGTCTCCACAGGAACCTGTCATGACCGATGGGGGACTTACTTCTGTGAGTGCCCAGACCGAGCTGGGGGTAAGGACTGCAGCCAGGTGATTGACCAGCCAACTCGACTCGAGGGCAATGGCTTCTTGCTGTACACAGAAAACTCACTGACCAGTAAAACCATCCTTTATGCCTGGTATAATGGCATATCCTTTAGGACACGGGCCAGTTCAGGTGTACTGATGTATATAGTGATCAGTGAGGGTTACACCATCACATTAGAGGTATGATGGATCATTCTGACATGAGAAAATATGGGGCTTTAGTTTTACCTATTTTCCAAAAAATAGTAAATTATACACTTAATATAGGGAGAGGATTAAAGCTTTATAGGTAACTTGCATATACATAGTTTAAAGTATAGTCTTTATAAAAAAATTCACATCTGCTTATTTTAAGTTCCTTTGAAACTTGATTGAATGACTTTTAATCTGTCTTGTGAAGTTGAAACCCCAAATTAAAACAATACATCATGATCAATGATTAGGCCATTCCAAGTTTTTTCTATGTTTAGCGTCCACCCATCTTTCAAAAACCTACCTACCTATTCGCAAAAAACGCAAATAATAAACACAGACTATATAATCTTTAAAATGACGTCACTCAAAGCATTTGATTTCTTAAATCTATTATTCTCGTAGAAAGATCTATTCTTTAGCAAAAACAAGGTATTAAATGCTTAAAATATACCTAATATGACATATTGTAGACAGATAATTCGAGAAATTGATAGAATTTAAAGATTTTGACCAGAATAATCAATTTCAGGACTCCTGATTTTGTTTGTTTTTTCTGATATGGGGTGTTAAAAACCAAGGCGCACGCGGACGCTAAACATAGAAAAAACTTTGAATGGCCTTACCTTGAGTTGGAGATATTTTGTAACAAGGTATGTAGAGTTGTGTCCCTTTTGTTCCAGCTGGTTGAAGGATATGCTCAGTACCATGTGAGTGGAGCCAACAGAACATTTGTGTTTGATTATCTCCCTGTAAATGATGGAAAGTGGCATTATCTGGAGGTTAGATGGCCCAGAAATTGGGAGATCATTCTGGTTATGGATTATGGTCATTGGCAGGTAAACTTAATGCACAAAAATTAAACACAAATTCCCCCTCCCACCAAAAAAGTAATATTTTTTTCCTTTAAAGCATCATGTGTATCCAAAATATCCATCCAATTTTTTTTTGCCATACTCTAGTACCGGGATAATTGTCAAATTTTACCCCCTTTTAACCTAGTGTACATGTAATGTTTCTGATGTAAGTCACTGAGTTTTTTTCCTTTTCAGAAGAAGGAAAATATCACAGTCCTCCTGAGTAACAAGATTGTAGATAGAGTGTATGTAGGAGCAAAGAGGGAAAATGATGGCCCAATATCCAAAGGTTTTGTAGGATGTGTGGAGGTAAGGAGTAACCTGTTTTATCTTTGATATAAAAAAAAAAGGTCCACATATATCATGTTTGGCATTGATAAAACCTGTAGATTTATTTGCTGAAAAGAAGGATTATTACATGGTTGTGTTTTACAGAATATAATTGTTGGTAACACCAATACGGCACTTCTTTCACGGCCGTCACACAGCAACACTTACCCAGGATGCACCATTCCAAGTGCCTGTATGGATAACCCATGTTCAGCTGGGGCTACATGTGTGGACCAGTGGGGAAAACATGAATGTGTCTGCCCTAAAGGTCAGTACTACAGAATATTCAGTATTGTGTTAAGGTGGATTCCTATTAATATGATGAATGAAAAGTCAATATTCCTGAAAATTTTGTAGTATGGAAAACGCTCATGTAGCTAAGATTTACATGAGATGTATCTGAGATTCTAAAGTTAGATTACTTAAATCTGAAGAAATCTTTAGTATTTCAATGATGATAAAGACAATACTATTATGGATGGTTTGTGTAAAACTACAGGTACGCTTGGGCCGCAGTGTAAGGACATCTGTAGGAACTATAATCCCTGTCATTACGCAGCCATTTGTCATGGTCCGACCTTTAACCCCAGCTCACAGGCCGGCTATACTTGTCAGTGTGGTCAGCTCCAGAGTGGACGTTACTGTGAATACGTGTCCACTCAGCCATGTGACGATGGCTGGTATGGGTTCCCTGTCTGTGGCCCCTGTAACTGTTCTTACGAACTGGGATTTGACACAAAGTGCAACAAAACCGACGGAACATGCTTTTGTCAGGAGAACTACTATCGACCAATAGGAAGTGACCGTTGTTTCCCATGTGACTGTTATAAGTATGGGTCGACATCAATTTACTGTGACAAGGTCACTGGTCAGTGTCCTTGTAAGAAGAATGTCATCGGAAGAAAGTGTGACCAATGTGAGAACAAATATGCACATATATCATGGAATCCAAATGATGACATTGGATGTTTAGGTAAAAATACATCATGAAATTTAAATCCTCTCTTAAAATCAGTTCTTTTTATTTCTTTGAGCACTACTACTATCTTTGTTAATGATGTATTATCAGCTTGTTTAACGTTTTGAAAAAATGAAGATAAACTTTTATGAAAGAAGTTCTATGTGCTTATCTAATTGAATCTGAAAAAAGAGAAATCTAAGAAAATGCACCTAAGCCTATTACTAATATAAAAGGAAAATTTTACATTGTTTTAGATTGTTTTAGTTATACCATCTTATTCTCTCTTTCAGTCACAAACAGTATGTGTCCTCGTCAGTTCTACAAGATTATGTGGTGGGAGGCGAAGACCTTCACAGAGAGCGGCTATGTCACAGCTGTACAGGATTGTCCATTCGGAGCTGTTGGTAAGTGTCACTTCTAGTCATTGTCTTACTAGTCAAGAAGGGTATAGTGCTATGTACATGTAATTTGATTTAAGTAACACAATTTTTTTAAACATTTGTAACATTGACAAATCTTTGTTTTATGTAGGTGATGCCAAAAGAAACTGCTCTAAGACTGAGCTTTGGTCTGAGCCGGATCTCTTTAATTGTACCAACAAGGACTTTGTCAGCTTAGAAACTCAGGTATATATATAACATAATGGATAAAAAAAATCCCTCATATTGACAGATCTTATTCATTTTTTAAATTTCTGTGTAAGTTTTATTTGGCTATTTATTTGTTTAAAAAAATATATTGCTGGGATTCCATCAGCGGGATTTATATTGATGAAAGAGTTTTGGAGAACACATTTCAAAATGGATATCAGAATTTTGTAATCCTTATCTTAGGGACAGTATTGTATATTATAGAAGACATTCATACACTTTACTACAGGTTAGCCAGATGGAGAACAGAACACTGAACATAACAACATACGTGGCCAAAACTATGGCTGCAAAACTAGCCAGCGCCACGTCTTCTGTCAGGGTCTTGTTTGGGAATGACATCAACATTACATACAGAATCATCAATCAACTGCTGAAGTATGAAAACAAACAGTCTGGACTTGGCTTAACTTTAGAGCAAGACAGTAACTACCTACAGGTGATTAGCAAAAATTAATTTGATTATTGTTTATGTGGTTTCGATGCCATTAAATTTTGCAGTTTTTACAATTGGCAGCTCAATATGAGTTACTATGCAGACTGACATACCAAAGTGTTGCAATGACGCCTGATGGCTTTGTGGTCACTGGTACATGTACTTGGGATTGACAACATGTAACATGTTGGTGATCTTACATGTACATTGCCTTTGTCAACATTTTATTGCATTTTTAGTGCATTTGTGTTTGTTTGTATTGCACTGACCTGTGCAATTGATATCATATTTCTTTGATACTTTTCCTCTTGACATGGCAGAAGCATTCTGTATAATTATTTTTGTTGCTGCAAAATATATCACTTTGGCATTGTAATATATGTCTGCACAGGTTAAATCTGAAAAGCATATTACACAATCATTGAACTGTAGATAAGTGAAAAACATATTTTAGGGGATTTAGAAATAAAGTCGGATGGAGAGAAATATGGCAGACAAAGATAATTCTCTTCCTTTTAGGAGTCGTGTTCAGCTTTAACTGTTATTTGTACATGGCAGTTAAATTTATTGCACTTATTAAACTTTTTGCTGTAGAGTTGAAATGCATTTTGTAATTAAATTGTAAATTTAATTACAAAATGAATTTCAACTCTACAGCAAAAAGTACAATATTGATTTATTTGTTACCTGAGTATTCAAATTAGTTGTCTTCAGTACAATTAACACAACGGTATTGAAATTTAAAATTTCATTTAAAATGAATCCCGTAATCAATGAAAGTTATTGAATTTCAATGAATATTTAAAGAATTAATTAAGCAGCATATATCGACGTGCAGCATATATCGACGTGCAGTCTGCAAGATAGAAATTACCTCACAATCAGTGTTGCTACAGAGTTTTATTATTTCATTTTTTATATGAAAGTTTTGAGCTGTAACAGTTATATTCTTTTTTAAACTGGAGAAAAGATAAACCATACATTAGAAATAAAAAATAAAGTTGCAGACCACACAGTTAATATCTTAAGGATCACACAATGTGGAATTTTATCGATAAATATTCAATTTGAAGTTGAAATAAAATCAACATGCATTCTTGGAAAAACCACAGGACAGAAGAAGAAAAAAAATTGCCAAATTTTTCTGTTAACAGTGAAAATAAACAGTACAGAGAGGAAGAAATTCTGAGATCATTCAATTTATTCTGATACATGTATATATAATTTCAGCACTTGCTAGATGCATTAAGTACAGCTCTGGATCCACAGTATGTATACGAGTGGAATAAAATAAATCGGAGGTCTGGAGGGATAGGAGAGATATTTTATCGTCTAGAGAATTATTTGGATCTCCTGACCCGGAATCTGGACAGAATGCAGAAAAATCCATACAGAGTTGTCTCCAAGCACATTGGTAAGGCAAACATTTTAAACTTGGTAACATGAGAAGGGGATTTTTTTTATTTGTAGTTGTACAAATAAAGAACTAAGAACTTAAAAGTCATGTTGTACCTCATGTAAATAAGATTTTTTTCCCAGAATTCATGATATTGTATGTACATACAATGTATAACATGTACAAGGGAGATATTTGTGTCAGATCAAACTTCAACATGATGTATTTTCTATTTCAGTTTTAAGTGTGGATACCTTGACATCTCGTAACACAACAGGACTGAAGATCCCAAAGTTCGACAACATTGTAGCTGAGTCAACATTTGACGACCAGACCCACGTAGTTTTGCCGCCATCCATCAGCCAATCATCTGTGGCCGAGTACATCCAGCGAGTGATGTCACGTGGATCAGATAAATTCTATGTGTCCTACATGTTATTTAATACTCTAGGTTCCCTATTACCATCTGGTCCTGGGAGTCTACATACCAGCATTGTGTATGTATATATTGCGTTATAAAGTTAAAGTTGATGAATAAGAAGATACTGTAAGTGTATTGTATTGTAAGTGCAGAAATACGAATTAGGGCATATCTGAAAGTGCAAGATATAAATATATGTACTCCAGACATTTAGTGATGTACTTGATTTAATTAGCAGAAGCTGTTTCCACCAATGGCACTAAAAAGAATACAATTGCCAAATGTATACGTTTACAGTATATCAGACACAAATATCTCATCTAAAACAAGAGCTTTGAAAGCAAATATAATATCACTGAGAATTTACATTTTGTGTATATCTGGTTTTATTGTTTAAAATAATTTAGCCTTGTACCTTTAACATTAAAGGTTGAAATGTTGATTTTCATGTTTGTTTTTCTGAAACAATTTTAGTCAGAACCCAGGAAGGGAGCTAGCTGTGAATAGTCCAGTGTTTAGCCTGCTTTTAAGGGATCAAGACTGTGCCATCAATAAAGGATTCTCAGAACCACTGAAATTCCACTTTAAACAGAAGGTCAAGGACAATCGCACAAGTCCACAGTGTGTGTACTGGAAAACCCCCAACAGCGATGCATGTAATCACACAGACACCACTGGTGGCACCAGGTGTGTGTTAAAGAGGACTTGGTTCTTCAAGGCCAGAATTCTGGTCATTTTTGGAATCTTCTTGATGTGCAAAGATACAATTCAGTAAATTGAGCACAATAATATCTGAAGAGGAAATTTTAAGCAAAACATTTTGCAAACAAAACAATGTGGAAAAAACTTGTAATATTAAAGTAAAATAACATTGAACAACTTAATACATGTATCTTAGATTTTAATTTTCAGTTGAAACATTTTCATTGGGTTTTGGACAGATCTATCAATTTTATTAATTATTTTTTTCAGCTACCTTGGTCAGTGGTCAAGTGAGGGCTGCACTGTAGACAGAAGATATGAAATTGAAATCTCAGGTCAAGGGTCACAGGTCACTAAAGACATGTACGTGGTCTGCTCCTGCAATCATTTGACATCTTTCTCAATTCTCATGGAAGTAGCAGATTCTGAGGTATATTCATTTAATTTTGTCTCTTCAAAGTAAAATTTGCTTGATTATCTATGACTTTGTGAATAAATTTTTGAAATAAAAAAATATATAAAGGTTTTTTAGATTTAAAAATAGCAATAATATTATTACAAATTCTATATTTATTTACAGTACACAGCTAGAGCAGTTATTTCCCTGGCCATCTTCAGCTTTGTGGGGATTGGTATATCGCTGGTCTGTCTGTTTGTGTCCTTTGTCATTTTCTGTTCCTTCAAGCGCCTCCAGTGTAACTCTAACAGTATTCTGATAAACATTGTGTTCACACTGTTTGTGGCAGAGCTCGCCTTCATTGCAGGAGTCTACAGAGTCTCCAGTAAGGTAGGAAGTAATTTTGTCTTCACACATTAAAAAAAAAATCTCCATTTTCAAATGGTAGTATACTGTTAGTCAAAGCATCAGTGATAATGTTCTTTATATGTAGATGAACATATACTTTCAATTGTCAGTATTCTGAGTTGGAAGGTGTAGGTATAGGACAAATGACTCTTGACACTTTAACATTCCTGGTGTTAAAATTATCAATAAGTTATTGAAGATCAAATGTATCTGCCTTAGTGAATAAAAAATTCTTTCTCAGGTATATGCTTGAATAGGGAACTCTCTTAAACTAAAGATATCTATCTCACAATAGAAAAGGTTTTTTAAAGCATTAATTTTTGTGGTTATCTGAATATTTTTACAGCTTATTTGTCGATTGGTTGCGATTTGCCTCCATTACTTCTACCTGGCAGCATTCAGTTGGCTGTTTGTTGAGATGTTACATTTATACAGACGACTCATTGAAATCAGGGACATAAACTACGGCACCATGAAGTTCTACTATCTCCTCGGATACGGTGAGTTATTAACAGAAATCATTCTCCTAAAATATTATACATCTAGCGATAACCTTTACCCATTCATGAAGAAGTTGATGAGAAAATGGAAATTGAATGAACTGGTTTGCACTAGAGGTACCCTTGTAAAAAAGTTACTTAGCCATGTTTATGAGGGAATATTCCACCTTTCAGCATTCATGTTAAAAAAGCATGTATTTGGATTTTGATATGCTTACATTTTATGTTGTTAATTAATTTTGATAATATTTAATTAAAAAAAAAAGAATTAATGTGATCACTGTATATCTTGACAATTTTTTAGACTCTGATGAGTCTTTAAATGTATAAGTACAGATGCATGTTCGAGCTTTTTGAAAAAAAAATTTTATTTTCTGTTTCAGTCATACCAGGTATCATCGTTGGTTTGTCTGTTGGACTCTACACTGATGGCTATGGAAATACCTCCTTGTACGTATTGAAAATCATTTGATCCATCCATTTTATGAATTTTCTTTTGTAAATTAAATAAAATCTCACTCTCTTCAAATAAAATAACCTTTTATGTTGCAGAGAATTTTCTATGGTAAAATCATTTTGTTTGCATTAGTTACTTCTAAGAATTTATTTCTGTTACTGGTTCTAGATTTTATTTGGTATTTATGTGATGTAAATTTAATTGTATTTGAATTCACTTAGAAGAAAATAGAGTCTGGTATTAAATCTGAAGTATGGCCTAGAGGGAATAGAATAATAAAATTCTAATTATCATATGAATTAGGTGATGATAAAATACAAACAAATGTATTATTTGTAAGTGTCAGAAGATGTTTGCTTTTTGGAGAAAACTTACCATGTAAATAACATATTTAGTTTATTAAAGTATCAAGGAGATGATTTCTATATAAATTATATAGATGGAGATAAACATGTATATTTATACAAAATACTGAAAAAAAAGTAAATTTGGTTGTTTTTTTTTAATGTAAATGTTAATGGATGGACTGACTGCTTTGTTTCAGCTGTTGGATGGATATTTCTGAGACCTTCATCTGGAGCTTTGCCGGCCCAGTGGCTGTGGTCATCCCTGTAAGTAAAACAAACCAACACACTTACAATGTATTCATCTCATTTTCATCATGTAAAAAGTGCTGCATATTTACTGATTTGTACTGTGTTATTTAATTCCTTTCTTGTAAACTTTATATAATCCTTAGCTTTTAACAATCACTGGCAAAGTATTTTGATTATTGTTTATAAATTTCCTTATTTCAGGCCATCATCTTCATGTTCACACTGGCACTACATTCTAGTTGTAAGGAGAAAGTCAATGTTTCGGACATCACAGCTTTCAGGTAGGGAATATTGGATATTCTTTTGACCTGCTCTGAGTTGTCTTAGTTGTGTATTATAGTACCAGGGAGGTTGGTTTATCAATGGTTTTCATTTATTGTAAAAGGTTTTGAGCTATAGTTATAAAATAATGTGTGGTACCATTAATTTATAATATTTATGCATGCAGTTCATACATGTACCTATCTTCTGTTAAAAAAAAGATTGAAGTTTAAATTTTTATCACATTGATATGGAAAAGCAAACTGTTGTTGCAAATTTTGTTATAGTTAATAAATAAAAAAAAATACTGAAAATGTTCTCAAATAAAGGGTATTTTATTTTACGTATAATACAGTCCCTGAAACGTTCTACTTTCCCATTTTTCCGTTCGCTCACCGTTCGTTCACCGTTCGTTCAGCGTGTGTTTACCGTTCGCTCTCCGTTCACAGTTTTGGGTTCACCGTTCACCGTGTGCTCGCGTTCACCGTTCACAAAGCGTTCAGCGTTCGCTCTTCGTTCCGTTCACTTTGCGTTCACCTTGCGTTCAGCGTTCACCTATCGTTCAGTTTTGATTGTCATTCGGAACTCTGAAGTGAAAGGACTTATCTTTTTGTAGGTAAGGAGTTACAGGTTTTTTTTAATTTAATAACTAACATAATTATAGTGTTTGAAGAATCATTATTTCATGGGGAAAAATATCTACGATATATATATTTATTATTCTAACTAAGCTGTTAGGTTATTTTTTAAATTACTCTGGAAAATAATGTTGTTATAAGCACATTCTGTACCTATGTAGACCGATGCTGAAATATTAAATTTAACTAAGGGCAATGTGCAAATACTTCAAGCACTGCAACAATTTGTTGTTTTGTTAAAGACGACAAATCGTTAATGGTGATATAATTATCCAAGTAAAATAATTACGCAGCAAAATTACGAAAATATTTATTTCTAACACTTTTTTTTTCAATTACTACAGAAAATATGATAGAACTAGTTCTGAGAGTTATACATAGTACTGCGGATATCCTGTTAATTTATTATCTTTGGAGCGAATTAAATTGATAGTGTGGTAAAGGAAATATTTATTGAAAATGTAATACACTACAGAATTTACTCTAATATGTTAAGTTTATATATAGTTATAGAGAAAAAAATTCTTTCTTCACCGTAACTTTATATGTTTGCCATTCGATATGATTAATACCCCCCCACCCCTTTCCCCCTAAATCGGTTACTTAGTCAGTACTGTATTTCCAGAATATTTTAATTAACATTTAAAAAAAATGTTAAGGTCTTTTTTAGAACAAAAATTTCAGTCTCAAAACAAACATGCATCTAAAAAAGTCACAAAACAATAGTAGTTCAAAATGTACACGTGTCGGCGGTGGTACATATTTGAAATTGGCAGAGAGTATGTTTCAAAGTCAAGTGCTAATGCCCAATGTATTTTATTCATTTATTATTCAAATGTTGGAATCAAATCTAGAAATGATAAAAATAAATGTTATAACTTGTTGGAAATACTTGCACTTCGCCTTCGATGTAACGAAACTTTCACACCTGCACAGTGTCGAATGATTTTGATTGACAGGACAAGCACGTGGACTTCGTGTGAACTTGAAGCAGGAAAATAAAAAAGAGGATGACTGTCAAACAAATGGATATGATTTGTTGATAAAAAAAAAAAGTTACTTTCACTGTCTGATATATTTAGAAAAGAAAAAAAATTCAGGGGGGGGGGGGCTAAAATGGAATATTTTTCTCTCTCTCTCTCTCATTTGTCTGTTTAATAAACACTATAACAGCATATTACTTAAATATAAAGTTCTGAAAATTGAATTTATAACAAATAATATGAATATGCATCTTTGTATTATCTTGTCCGAGTATAATCACGGCCATCTACAGATACATGTAGAAGTCTGCTCAATAAATCATCATGAAAAAGTAGAAATGACACACAATATATTATTGTATTAAACATTTAAATACGAGCGTATAAATGCAAAACGTCCACTGACCTTTGTAATTAATTTTTTTTTCATTACTTTACACGAAATCGCCTTGACACGGAGATATATGAATGGATGTTACAACCGCTTTAATTCATTCTGTAAGTCAGAAGTTTTCTCTGATTTGTTATCAAATAAGAATAAACATTCTTTTTTTCCAACTAAAAAAACATCTTTTATACTTCAGCGTTCGGCAACAATTACAATGTTATAATGCGATAAATATCGTGTGATTAAAAACTTATTGTGCATGCATCGTCTTTCTTAGGACAATTTTGGAGAATTTATTTTATTGACATATTTATTCATTCATTTATTGGTTTACTTATTCATTATTTATTTATTTTTTGGCACCTGACATTATAATACAATAAAATAGTTTCAATGCAAGGAAAAGATCAGAGGCATTCCGAATATATCGTTCATCTTGCGTTCACCGTTCGTTCACCGTTCACTTTGCGTTCGCGTTTGTGCTCCGTTCGCGTTCTGCGTTTGCTCACCGTTCACCGTTCACACATCGTTCACCAAGTTGCGTTCAGCGTTCACACATCGTTCACTCACCGTTCGCTCTGCGTTCGTTCAGCGTTCGTTCACCGTTCGTTCAGCATTCGCTCACCGTTCAAGTGGGAAAGTAGAACGTTTCAGGGACTGTATGATGAATATTAAAATTTGCAGGGCGCGAATTTTCTCTGGTGTGATATTACTACTACTGTTGGGAATCTCCTGGATTCTGGGACTACTTTCTGTGAACTATGACCTTCAGCCATTACATTATGTCTACGCAGCATTTACATTCCTACAGGGAGCTTTTGTGTTTCTAGCCTATGTTGTTGGTGACAAGAAGGTATGCCTGTCTTAAAAGTTCAAAATGGGAACAAGAAAAATTCTGAAAATTTCCATATTTGAAAATGTGCAATAACCCAATCTTTTTCCTACATTTTTTTTCTCATTTTGATAAATACTTTGTTAATATTCATTATCAATTATATTCGAAAGAAGACTTTTATATCTTTGAGCAATGATATATGTATGTTGTAAAAAATACTCGTCATCATCAACAAAATGAAAGTCAATCAAAGAAAATAGGATGATGTACAATATATAGTCATGCACTGAGATGGATATCTGGTTAGGTTCTGTCAGCTGTAGATGAAATACAACAGAAAATATATGCTATTTACTGACTATGTTGAAGGTGAAACACTGTATCTGAGGCCTTAATTGTGATTATGCTAATGGTTAAATGTACATTTAATTCTTATTTCTTGTTAGGTGCGTTATAACTTGAAAAAGCAATGGTACAAAATGCAAGGAAAGAAACTGGATCCAGATGACTCAGTGGTGGGAAGTAGGCCCTCTATTTCAGTAAGTCATCTGAAGGATTTACTGCACCTTTACTCTTTTAAAAGACTGTGAATAAAAAGTAAAAGTTAAAGAGTTTATACTTACATTTCCAAAATTTTTCCTTAAGATTCTTTGCAAAATAGAAAACAGTTCATTTTCTCATGAACTTCTATCAAGACCATGGATGAGCAAGAATATCTCCTTTGTGACATCACAGCTATAGTGCAAACTGTTTTGTTTCAAAAATGACAGTTGAATGACATAAATCTGTGGCAAGTCAACAGACAAATAATGTAAATGTACTTTGTAAGATATGAGTTTATTTTTTTAGAATTCATGAGGCACTTGTACTACAATGCTTCATTCCTGCATATTTATCATGGAGCATTAACGCACTTCATGAAATAAGCCAGCGTGAAGCATCGTAGTTCATGTCGTCGTGAATTCTCCAAAATAAAATTTATTTTGTAATTAAATTTATTTATATACATTGACATGTTTACAGTGTTTAAGCTCTTTGATAGCTTATCATGGGTTTTGTGTTTGGGCTTATAATTAAATGAATATTAAAAGCTCAGGAATTTGTGGGAGCCTTTAAAAAAGACAAAGTTGTTCTAGTGACATTGAGGACACCAATATATTTCTTTACAGAGATCAGCCTTGGCTTATAGACGAGACTCTTCCATTGATGGCTACATTAACAGGACAAATGTGGGGATCTCTACGACCTCCACAACTTCTAGATCCACTAGTAAAAGCAGTGGGGGCCTGTATAAAGGGGAGGACTACCTACGCAGCACAGACACCTCCACTTCTGGACATGCCCCCTCCTACGCTTATGATAACTCTTACCACCAGAAATCAGGAGAGGGTTAGTACATTGTATCGTAATATTAGACAAAGTAGATTAATAACTCAAGGTATTTTTAGCTCTACTGGCCAGAAACCAGAAGAGCTTATGCGATAGTAAGGTGTCTGTCTGTCCGTCTGTAAACAATTTTTCAAAACGCTACTCCTCCTACAGTTTTGGTCTGATTTCAATATAACTTGGTACACAAGTAGACCTCACTAAGATACATAATTCTTTGTATCGGTTTTTGATTTCAATGAATGGTATTGCCGTGGTTACTAAAAATAGAAATTTCCTTGAAATACATTCAGAATGCTACTCCTCCTACATTTTTGTTCTCATTTCATTATAAATTGGCATACAAGTAGACTACACAAAGATACATAATTCTGTGTTTGATTTTGATGAACGGTGTTGCCATGGTTACTAAAACTAGAAATTTCCTTGAAATACTTTCAAAATGACTACTCCTCCTACAGTTTTGGTCTGATTTTAGTCTAACTTGACACACAAGTAGACTGCACTAATATACATAATTCTCTATACCAGTTTTGGATTTTGATGAGCAGTTTTGCAATGGTTACTAAAAATAGAAATTTGAAAAACTTTCAAAATGTACTCCTCCTACATGTTTTGTCTGATTTCAGTATAACTTGGCATACAAGTAGACTACACTAAGATACATAATTGTCATTATTGCTTTTTGATTTTGTTGAATGATGTTGGCATGGTTACTTAAATCGAAATTTCTGTAAAATTATTTTAAAAGACTACTCCTCCTACAGTTTTATTCTGATTGCAATAAATCTTGCCACAAAAACAGACTAAACCAAGGATCACTATTTTATTTATTGCTGTTGCAAAGTTTCAAGTCCAAGTGCTACTTTTATCTTCCTTTATAAGTACAACCAGTAGAGCTACAGTCTCATCAGAGACCTCTGGTTTTGCTATGATATACATTTACATATGCATTGTCTTTTCATTTCCTTGATGTACTGTTCTAATTTAGTAAGTTTTTATAATATTAAGAGAGAGGATCACTTTGTGGGATTAAACAAGATTCATGACTGTGATTTGCCTTGCATTGTCATGCTCAGTGAGTGCCAAAATATTGTAGTTTTATTCTTATTACTTAAACCTTCCTTTGTTACAGATGAAGTACCAGAAAGAAGAAGCCACCGTAAACACAGAAATCATGACTCCGATTCCGAGAGTGATGTCTCTGTTGGTCAGGCCAGTATAGAACTGGCCTCCAGTCACTCATCAGATGAGGATGACGATTTTGATATTGGACCATCATGGGAGAAACAACTGCCAAAAAATCAGAAAATTGGTTAGTTGGACTGAATAAAAATAAACTTCAGAATTTATGTTTTATAAATTAACAAAAACAAAACTTTTCAGTTCATAACTTATGATAACTTGCTGTACAGTTATCTATGCTTTAACTCAAGAGTTTGTAATTTTATTGCAATTATTCTGTCTTTGCAGAAGAAGCCAAAGAACAGATGAAGAGAAAGCAGCAGCAGGAGCAAAGTCAACATCAGGACTCGGAACAACAACAAAACCAGCAGAATTTAAAGCACTTACACTCAGGTCAGTCACAGCAATAATACTCAGGTCAGTTAAAACAATAACACTCAGGTCAGTCAAAACAATAACACTCAGGTCAGTTAAAACAATAACACTCAGGTCAGTCAAAACTATAACACTCAGGTCAGTCAGAACAATAACACTTAGGTCAGTCAAAACAATAACACTCAGGTCAGTCAAAACAATAGCACTCCATCAAAACAATAACACTCAGGTCAGTCAAAACAATAGCACTCAGTCAAAACAATAACACTCAGGTCAGTCAAAACAATAACACTCAGGTCAGTCAAATGAGTAACAAAGCAGTGACACCCAGGTCAATAAAAACAATAACAAAACAGTAACATTCAGGTCAGTCAAAACAATAACACTCAGGTCAGTCAAAACAATAACACTCAGGTCAATCACAGCAATAACACTAAAGTCAGTCAAAAAAATACCAGTCAGGTCAGTCAAAACAATAACACTCAGGTCAGTCAAAACAATAACAGTCAGGTCAGTCACAGCAATAACACTTAAGTCAGTCAAAACAATAACAGTCAGGTCAGTCAAAACAATAACAATCAGGTCAGTCAGAACAATTACACTCAGATCAGTCAGATAAATAACCCTCCAGTCTGTCAGATAAATAACAGTCAGGTCAGTCAAAGCAATAACAATCAGGTCAGTCAGAACAATTACACTCAGATCAGTCAGATAAATAACACTCCAGTCAGTCAGATAAATAACAGTCAGGTCAGTCAATACAATAACACTCAGGTCAGTTAAAACAATAACAACCCACACTTGGCATTATCATATCTCTCAGGTGAAAACAATTTTGTTTTACATCAGACTAGAATGAGCGCTGTCATTGGATAATGGATATCACGTGCCTGCAGTCAATATTTCTTTGGACAGCAAGTTGCAAAATTTGGATGGCAACAGGGCAGATTATATCATCCAGATTTACAGAAAAAAATCATGCCAATGTTATTTTTGTTTTTAAAAGAAAGTAAAAATTTACATCCTTACCAATTGCACAATGCTGCAGTAAAATTTAGAGTATTGTCCATTTTACTGATTGTCCACACAGGTTTATGTCAGGTTGTTCAAGTCAGTCCAAGGCCCAAATTCACCTCTAATCACCTTCAATGGACTTGAACAACCTGACATATTTCTGTGGACAGTCAGTAACAAACTCATATTATAATAAATCATTCAAAGAACAAGAAAATTGCAGGCAATTTTAAATGCATTACTGTATCAATATCAACATGTAAAGATTATTTATTTTAGGTCCCCATTTGTACACCACACTTCCCAACTATGGACACTGGCCCGGTGACCCAAATCTGTCGGGGTTTCACATGAGTGAATCTGATTATCAGCAGACTGTATCCAGCAATCCACCGGATGTTACACTTCCTGCTCAGCAAGACTTACAAGGTATCCGTCGGCAGAGGAACATTCTGCTCGGCACATATGGAATCTATCGCTAAACATGCTTGGAAATTTTTAAGTTGAGCAAACTCCTATAACATATAATGAATGAATATGTGAATTTTATCATGATAAGATAAAGATTTCTTCAAAAATTGAAAAAGAGGGGTAATCAGAAAGATTTAACCCTTGTTGTGATTTTAAAAATGGCATATAACTGACAATCAAATGCTAGAGTGGTGTTCATTAAATTCCATAAATTACTTGCCATCAACTTCATAGTTCTTTCACATCTCATCTTGTACATAAAACATATATTTTGTTATTCCTGTTACTTTATACCTATTTCAGAAGTGCGATGTATATCTTTTGTGTTGTAAATATTTATTGTGTTATATTTTGGGCTTTACATGTTGTTTACCTAATGAATGTTTTGTACAGATAAATGTGTAAATATTAAAGCTAAAGTGCTTTATCAGCTTACCGTGCCATTAAAATTTCAGAATTTTTGGTGACAACTATTGCTCTCTAGGATCGTAGACTGTTATGCAGGCTGTTATTATTGCTTGTTGTATGTGTTGTACTCTATGTTGTAGGACACAGAGATTACATTATACCCCCCAGCCGTAAGGACAGCCTTGTAGCTGATCCAACAACCTCCCCCCGGAGTCCTTATATTCTACCCCCTCCCCCACCTGAAACTCGGATGAAGGTTCAGGTGTTAACTCACAATGGCAGTATTTCTTCTGAATCAGAGTAAGTTCCCCTGATAATAGAAGTGCTCTGTTGTCTAGCTGTTATAAAAATGAATTTTGATAGTGATGACCATTTTATATTGGATAATGGAAATGAAATGCAAGCAATTTTAAGATATGTGTACTATACAGGCCAAAATCTGAGAAAAAAATCATTACTAAAGACAAACATTTTGTAAAGGAAATTGTGATTTTATCAATTTTATGGGTATGCTTACTCTCATAGCAGAAGGTCATTCATTTGCTCCGACCAAAACTTTAACAGGATTGAACTTTTAGGTAGAAAAATAAATAAAACATGTAGTATAAAAAAGACATTGAAAATGATATTTATATAAAATGAAAAAGAAATAGAATATTTTTGGTAGTCTTTTTCAGAATGATAGTAGACTTTTACTAATTTATTTAACAATAGCACAATGTTCTTTTAATATCTTTTGACAGTTATGAAATCCTTCTGCCCGTCTTTGTTGTACTTGTATCAGTTTTGTTCAGTTGTTAATTGTTCTGAGATGCTGTTTGCATGAGGTATATATAATAACCTTTGAATCTGCATGAGGTTGCATGAGTTTAGATATTTTTTATTTTCTGTATTTCAGATGCAGTGATGAGACTACAGTCTGACACCCCAGCGGGATCCTCCCCTCATTCCATCCATCATTAATCATCTAATCAACATCACATGTTCTGATTAATCAAAGCATAATATCAAAGCATGACTTTTAGTTTTATCACAAATATTAGTTACTCCATTCCAATTTTTCATTCCACATTTATTATTACTTGTTTTATATTATAATGTTTACAACCAGTTATTCTTCATGAACATTATTGCTTGATATTTTTTTTGGTATGTGAATCTTCAATGCAATGATTATTATTTTTCATTTTATATCTCAGGACATGAGATTTGTTTTATTACAATAGTTTTGACCTGATCTACAACATATGTTTCTTCCAATCACAAAACATTCCAAAAATTCCAGTTTATGCATAATAAAAATAGCTTTAATGTCACCAGCATTGGTCTTAGACAACCAATGGTATTTTACAGTGTAAATCTGAATATCAATTTTTGTAAGCACGTGCAGGTTAGACGACAGATGCTTGCTTGATCAATGATTTATTTTATTTGCAAACAGTACACAAATTTTAACGTTAAATGCCTTGTTGTGCCAATATTGTGAGATAATTTTTGTTTAGCATTTACATGTATGAATGAAAGCACAAAAGGTTTTATTACAATCACTAACATCTGAAACAGAATTCAGTTCTACAATAGGCTAGCCATAATATGTACATGTCCTGGTTAATAATTCACAAACATTATCTGATACTTAGTGCCATATAACACAGATTCATCTTTGTGGATGTTTTTAAAATTTAGAGATATACAGATGTTGACCAGTCCCTTTTTAGACTCCTTTTAGTGCACTGGCTCATTGTAAAAGTTATCACTATTTTGTTTTATATGAGAATTATAAAGCCCTTAATTTTGTTATTTCGTCCTATAATCATTAGATCTGTGAATATATTTGATCTCAGTGAGGGGATAGGGTGTAATGTCTCCGGTTGAGAATACATATATTGCAAGTGTACCATGAAATTTTAGTCAGATCTGTGCTTAGTGTGATTTGTAAGGCAATGTTCATGCTGTATGTTGGTTTTCAAATGTATCATTTTAACGAAGTTTGTACTCTTTAAAAGATGCAGTCAATATTATGTACATCAAAATTGTATTGATCTTGTCATTACACATTCATTGTTTTTGAAAGAAAAAAAATCAGTATTTAGAAAATTTCTTAAGCAGAAAGGTAAATGCATTTTTTTTCTTATAATACATGTATTTGACAGATCATTGAATTCCAAATTAGCCAGTATTCCAGAGAGCTGGAAATGTGTAAATGAATTAAACATTCAAAAAACATGAATTTCATGTCTGATTGCTTTTTCTATGTGTCTTAAATGAACCCAGTTGGACAAAAAATATCAAGAGAACTTTACAAAAGCATCAAATGTTTATTCATACAAAATTTATTGCAATATTTCAGACTTGCTGTTGCTCATAGAGTACGTACATGTAGGTTCACTACTTGTAATTGTTATATTCAAACATACATTGTATGGTCAGCAATATTTAATATTTGAGATGTTTTGCTACAAAGCTTTAACATTCCTTTTGTAATGGAATATCTTTTTATCTACACAAAGTAAGCCTGCCTTGATGAATGTCTGTGATTTTATATGTACAGAGTGTGAGAGGTAACTGTATATTGTCACCTAAAGAATTTCTATGTGTATACAGTTTCTTTAAATATAAAATAATTATGGAACTTCTGCAATGGTGGCGATATTGATATCAAGTAAATTTTCAATCATTACATCGTGGGACTTTAGAGAGATTTACAATTTATCATTGCAGGTGAAAATTTTGTAAAGAAAACAAAACACTCATTTTTCAAGCACCTTTTTTGAAAGGAAGGGGGGGGGGGTGTATAATGAAGCTCTAAACACCAGTCAAAAATGCTTTTTGGACTTTGAGAAAAATATTTCATATAAAGGTGCACTTATTCAGTGTATCTAGTTCATTTTCAACATAGGGTACCTGCCCTATTTCTGCAGGGAAAAATGTTCAAAGACAATGAACTATCTGTGAACAGAAATCACTGTTGTTTATACTTACATCGGGAAAATTAATGGAAATGATGTATTCAATTACTTAATCTTGGTCTAACATAACATTACAATACTTTGATTCATAACAAATTGTGTCATTTACTGTAGATTCGCATTTATTCTATTTTTCTTCTAAGGGCACATCACTCTAACTCAATAAAACTATCCTACAAATAGTACCCTTTAGTGTGCAGTGTTTAGAGCTTCCTTAAATGAATTTTGCTACTAGCAGAAAATGACATGAATGTATTCGTTTGAAGTCAAAAAATCGAACTGAGGTTTATCAATGAATTAAGTTCATTTGTACATATCGATATGTATCTACACACTTTTGAACTTCAGAGTGACAGTGACAGCTGTTTGAGTGACAGCTTAAAAATAGATTCTTTGGCTTGAAAGAATAATTAACAGTGGTAGTGTAAATGCTGAAAGAATTGAAGAGTCGAGGACTGACGACAAGAGATGACTCGTACTCGGCTCTTCATATCAGACAGCATTTACAGGTAGTCTAATCAAGACATCTTTATTCCAATAGGAATCTAGATGTTATTTAGTCCTTTAAATGCATTGTCCAAAAGGATGTACTGAGTTGTCAGCCATTTTTAAGGAACATCTCTGGTTTTATCCACCTAAATAAGCATACTATATTGAACTCCCTGTTATCTATTCACATTTTGATTCTTTTTGATTTTGATAGTCTTCTTAAAAATATATAGAGAATATTAGTTCCAGAACAAGTTTTCAGAGAAAGAAATTTTTCGATCGTACGTGGTTTCCCGCTATATTTTCAACGCTTTGTTCAGTGTATCTCGGAAATATGCTTATATAATTTATACTAACTCATTTTTTCGTCGTATTTGTTTCAAATAATCATTAAATCAAATTACAGTGCCGAAATTTAAAAGATCTCAACATAATACATCCTTAAGAATGTTTCATATTTTTTAAAAAATCTAGAACGTGAAACTCTATACATGCAACTTACAATTGAATTAAAACAACAAATTCCTTGTTTGTAATTTATACATTTTACAATCGTCGTATTTTGTCTGACATCTTTTGCACCATTTGTTAGGTCATTGCTTTTATACTGAATTTGACTACGAAGTACTCCGTCTATCTGATCAAAACATAGGGATCACAGCGGATGTGACCGTTCAACAGGGGATGCTTTCTCCTCCTACACACCTGATCCCATTTCTAGTGTTTCCTTGTGTCCGTGTTTTTGCCCTGGGGGTCCGTGTTTTTGCCCTGTTCAAAATTCATTTTGTTTACTAGGTTTATGAGATTTATCACTGTTCGTTATGTTTACATTTTACACTGCAATAAGAATAACCCGAACGGGAAAAATCACTACATATATAATATGCTCCGTGCTTTTCAAACTATTGCTGACATTTTATTTAGCGCATAATGTCGACTAACGTATGTCAGATGATACATGCAATTACAGGCAAAACTCTGCGGGAATATGCATACATTTACATTCTCACTACATGTCAAAATGTATTCTATTATTAAAAACAATATAATTATACTGTTTTCAGCAATTTTTTCATTTGTTTAACTTCTGTCAGCCATAAACTATATAAATTATAACATTAAAACTCCAATGCTTTCAGATAAAAACCGCAGTTCTGACTGTAATCAGAAAAAAATATTTGGAGATATTAAAGCTTTATACATTTGTCAAGTAAAGTGAAGGAAATCTTTTTTATGATCAAAAATGTCACCAGGACGAACATTTTGCACAATAAAAGAAAAGCAAATACAACGTCAGATCCAGACTCTACCATACAAAGTGAACGTGACGCACATAATAGTTTGACGTCACAATAATGTGAAGTAAATTCAATTATGATGACGTCACAGTTAATGAAGCTCTGTCGCAAAATCAATGTGTTACTGTCAGTAATGTAGTTGAACTGTCCGTATTATGTCACTGCGGAGACGAGTACCCGTTTCCGCACGCCATTTTGATGAAGAGAAGCAGGAAATTTGGTCACAGAGGAGGAGGGACAGACAAGGGGCAAATGTGGAATGGCAGGATCCTTATTTAGAAGGCTGTGATGAAGAAGGGGGCCATATATGTAAGATTCCGCCCAATGAAAACATGTGTAAAAGTGCTGGCTGCTCCAAAACAAATACATTTACTTCAGGAAATCGTCACGTTCACTTTGATAAGAACATTCCAGACAAAATATTAATGAGTGAGTTTTATCCTTGGAAGGAGATGTATTACGAAGAAAAAATGCAAAAGCTAAAACATTCGCCTGATAAAGTTCAAATCAGGGCTGGTTACTCTAATGTTTCTATGTCATCGAGGGGTAAGTAGTAAAAGCGAATGTAAAATAAGGTTTGAAAATTTATAATGTGAGAAATGGAGCATTCCGAATCATTGCAACAACGGAGAAAGAGTTTTTAAAGTGAATTAAATGTTTAAATTAAAAAAAAGGTTACATGAATCTATTTCAAAGAAACGGATAAGTGAAAATAAAATCCAATCTACGATCTAAAGACAATCTGTACAGCAGCTTCAAAGTAATAAACTTTTCACAATAAAATATCCAGCAAAATTGTATCCATTCGTAGTTGAGGTGTGAACACGTTCATGACTATTTATAAATGGATATGACTATGTAGGTGTACCTTAAAGACAGATGACACAAGCACGTTTTTCAAAAAATTATGAAAATAACTATTAGTAAGTCGTGTTCATATAAGTAAAATGAAGTTTAATTGCATATTTTTTCATTTAAATTTTCACAATTATATTCTATAAAGTTGTATAGTTGCAGAAAGGTAGAATTTTGAACATCATGCGAGAAAATTTACAATTTGTTGAAATTTCAGAAATTTGATATTTGCATCATTTACAACCAAAATAGGTCCAAAATACTTATCAATCAAGGTATCCATTTTGAGCTCACCTCATCAAAGTTGAGGGAGCTAATATAATACTCTCGGTGTCTATGTCAGCGTCGGCGACACAGGTTAAATTTTTTGGAGCAGTTTACTTTCTAAAATACAGCTATGCTCTATATTGATCTAGTTGAATGGATGATGCATCCTAGTTTGTTTCAATGTACCATTCGTGTTTCAGATGCTGCATTTGCAGCCATGTGTGGCAACGCACTTTGAAAAATTTTTCAAAGTGCGTTAAAATTGGGACAAAACGCACTTTGAAAAAAAAAATCAAAGTGCGTTAAATTTGGGTCAAAATCAACGCACTTAGGAATTTTTTTTCAAAGTGCATTAAGGGTGTACATCAACATTTTTACCATGTAGACACTTAACGCACTTTGAAAAAATATGTATAACAAAAATTCTGGACTTAGAATTTAGTAATAAAGAGCATAATTTGTTTTATTTCTTTCGAAAAACTGATGAATTGATCTACCCTCATTGAGAAGGAGGAGAAGACAGGTAGAAGGCCCCTCAGCCGAACTCTTTATCTTTCCTACATGCAAACTTGCATGGATGTTGTAGGTCCTGAAAATTTGTTTGAGAATTTGCCATACTTAAAGACATTCGTTGAGATGAGCTTTGTAATGTTTGATTACCTATATTTTTGTTTGTATCATCTGTTTTAGCCACTATCTTTCTAGTCGGTTTATTAAATAATTTTAACGAAAAAAAAAACAGATTTTCCTCAAGCATGTTTGTATTATTACATGTAATGCTTATTGTGTCATAGATGATTTCAATGAAAACCACCCTCCCGGAGGAGGTCCCCCACTCTCTTACTGTGATACAGATGATTTCAATCAGAACCACCCTCCTCCACCACTCTCTGGAAGTGCAATGAGAACCAATCTCCTCGGTGCCATTCAGCTGAAACGCAGGTCTAGCGAACCAACAGAGGAAAAATTCGACCCGACAAAAAGCATCCCTAACCTAGTGTTTGAGGGCCCAAGAGAAGAACCAGAACCTACTGAAAGCTTTGCCAGCCCCCCACCCGCAGTCCCCTCTGAACAGCCGACGGCTTCAGGTGGAGATCCAATGAAAAATCTTTTGGGAGCCATTCAACTTCAAAAACCAGAAACAGATTTCGTAGAGGAAAAATTTGACCCCACAAAGAGTATTCCAAATCTAGCCTACGAAGGTCCAGTGGAGGAACCAATCGAAGAGGCGACAACTGAAGAACCAGTGGAGGAAAAGCTAAGAGCTTCGTCGTATGACTCTGGTTTTGTGACATCAAGGACCGTAAGGATAGCCAATAATCAAAGTCCAAAAGAATTCACCGCACCTTCAAAATCTCAGACCAAGTCAAAACTGTCGAAAAGTAGTCATACTCAGACTAAAGGGCCTCCTAGTCTGACGAGCGTTTTAAGTGCTGCACAACCAGAAAGACAACCGAGCACTCGACTGAGTTCAAACGCTGGCGTGGATAACAGTGTGAAACTAGTACGACCAAGTCTGGTAAGATTTAGTCAGACAGGTGAACGTCCCAGCGAAGGAGTGAGAGACCAGAGATCCAGAGAGAACACTGAAGGTAATGGGGGACACGAAGATGAAACTCTTATATCTTCCCATAATATCTATCCCCCTGAACCGATTGATCACATTTTCGGCCGTGATAGAGAAACTTCTGACCATCTTCTAGGTCATGTTAGACAGCAGGCCCGGCCACTTATTATGGTCAACGAGGACAACACTATCAGAGCAGTCAAACATAAACACGAGCTAAACGATATATTGAGAGCTACTACTGGAGATCACATGCCCGAATTACCGCGCGAAATACAAAACTACGTCGATAAATTCCACGATGTTCCGCTGAATAAATTGATGCATTATGCTGAAACAGGATCTTATCTGCGAGAGAGCTACCTTGACAGCAACATATGCGACATTCGTGTCCATGTAGGTAAAGATACCTACCCCGCCCACAGGATCGTGCTGGCCTGCTTCAGTCCATACCTAGCTTCAGTTTTAGAACACGAGAACCCGCTAAAACATAAAAAGCCGAAAGATATTCGAATATCGGGGGTTTCCGAACGGTCTGTTAAAGTTCTATTAAATTATGTTTACACCGGAGACCTAAGAATGGAAACTGTCCTTATTCCAGATTTCATTAAATTGGCCGATAAGTTTGATGTTGCAGCCGTTAGACAAAAATGTTTCGATCAAGTTGAATCAATATCTGATGATGAACTCCTAGCTTTGCTCTCCGTCATGAAAGACACGCACGATGTGGAATACTGCGATCGCATTATGAAAAGCATTGCCTCTAAATTCATGCGCGTGAGAGACTGCAAGACATTCTTTCAGCTCGATATCAACACACTTTGTATGGTATTATCATATGATGCATTGATTCTGCGCAGTGAGATGGATATTTTTTATTCGGGTTTGAATTGGCTCCAGAATGGTGATGCCAAGGAACGCTGTAAGTACCTAGACCGAGTAATGGACTGTGTTCGATTTCCTCTGATGAACCAAGCCGAACTATATGAGTGTGTGGAGCGCTGTAGCTTATTGAAATCGAGTGCGACCTGCATACAAAGAATCCACGAAGCTAACTGGTAAACCATTTTTTTTTCTTATCTTCCTAATATATATTCGGTCTTTCCGTCTATCTTAAGATGTACATGAGCGATATTTTCTCTTTGAAGTTGTCCTTTTTCGCGTAGATGACATTTTGTATTTATCAGCTATTCTAAAAGGCATTTTATTTTACATAATTAATCATGCTTTATTTCCTGTAGTTTATAACAAGATTTCCATTATAACTTCTTTCCACAGGCTGATGACAATGTCTATGCTACATAAACAGGATCCCCTCCGTCTATACGTCCCTCCACACCGTAATAACATCAACTCTAGCGCCAGCGTCAGCGATTACATCACGGTTAGTCTTATATGAAAAAGATACAAATGAAAAGTATGAAGTATGGTTAAAGCTGAACACGACTCGTAAAGAGGTATACGCCATATTAGTTTCACTATCTTCGATATCAGCACTGGGATACTAGTATACCCTTTGCATTCGTTACATCTGACTGCTTTATTGTCACGGGTACCAGCGTGGAATGGACTACACGTGTTCATGCTGGTTATCTTACATTACCTTTGTTTACATTTTATAGCAGTTGACGTGTATTTGTGTTTGTTTGTATACTGCACTGACCTGTGCAACAATTGTAAGTTTTCTTTCTCTCTGCCGTTGAAGAAATAAACAATTAATTTTGTCGCTACCGAGTGTTTTACAATAGCTTTTAGCATACACAACTGATTACACTGAACGGTGACTAAGTGAACAGCTTACATTGGGACCCTCAGATATAACGAATCGAATATAAGAATATGACAGACAATTTCCTTATACGAATCGTGTTTAACTTTAAGGTTGTAATCATGAGCAAAGAAAACCATTCGAACAGTTCCTATCCCTAAAAAAAAGTTATCTCAGAATTTAAGTGTGTTTTGGCTCATACTAGGTATAGAGAACAAGATTTGTGTGTGTGTGTGTGTGTGGTTGCTGTGATATGTGTAAAGAATTTTGCATATTACTTTAAATGAAATGCATGTGTGTTTTCAGCGTACATGTAGTAGAGTGAAGACTGACGTCACAGTGGAAGTAGCAAGAGAGAGTTCTCCCAAAAACTACAACAGCGAGCCGGGAATGTCAAGGGCAAAATACTCCCCCACAAACTCACAAGGGGGTCCTCGTAACAACAACTCCCACGTTAGGACCCACAATAACAACGCTGGGGGCACTGGGGAAGAAAGTTGTGACACGGAGCAGGTTACTTATGTGCATAACGAGTCACATGACCAAAGGAAGCTATGTGAATCCCCTTTATTTAAAATGGGGCATTCAACATCCAAAGGTATTAAGTTCTCTAAGAACCAAATATTATTTGATAATTTTATTTTATTTCATTTTTATTTTTTGTGAATCATCATGTAAAAATTTGACTGCAACCACTGAATGCCATCCTTGTGAACTCGTGCAGTGATTAACAAGTTAAATTAACAAATATTTTCGCAAACTTGAATCAAGCGTACGTCATATACAGATATTTCTCGCATAAAAATCGTACTAGTTGGTTTGAATTTTTAACATGTAGCTATCAGCTAATAAAGACTGGATCTTTGGTTTTAATTTTTAAAAAGTAAAAACATTACGACTATAAATGTTGTATTTGAAGTCTTTTTTTGTTCACATTACAGATGTAGCAGATGAAGGATTGAATATGGATCCGAGTCGAAATCACACTATTGTTTTCACCAACAAACGCATGTACATGATAGGTAATTCTTCCGTCCACCCAGATCGTTGTTTAAACAATTGAAGAAAGAAGGACATTCGGCTCGTTAGAATATCTTTTTTCTAGTTTAATTTTTTAAATATACTGATATAGGATGGGGATTTAAAAAGAGAAATTAAAGAAAATTCAGTATGCATTACAAGGCAAAATTTTAACACATTACTGAAAAGTAAAGATGAAATATTTATGAAGGAACCATGGTGTTAGTATCTTTTTGAGAGTTATCTGTCTTAGCGAGGGTCATTCCACCTTAACAAAAAGACCTGGCAAAATGTCGTTGAAAAACAAAAAGCAAAACAAAATTCAACAAACCATTTAAAAAAAAAACCAAGCATGTAAACAAATATAACTAAATGCAAACAAAAGAAAACTAGTAAACAAAATTAACAACTGCAACAAATAATTAAAAATTGAAATAAATTACATTTCAGGTGGCTGTGTAACTAAACAAGGGGTGCCAACTCCACGAAGAGATGTTTTGATGTATGATAAGAGTTGTTGGACTTGGAATCCTGTGGCCCCCCTCCTGACTGCAAGAATGTATCACTGCTTATGTGTGGTCAACGGTCAGATTTATGCGCTGGGTGGAATAGGAGAAGACAATAGGTTTGATCCCTAGTCTGTCATTTTTGACCACGAGTTAACAGGGAAAAGGAAAAATTTATCTTCAGTGTCTTTCGCTACATTATGAAACACTAGTTTAATATTATTACAGTTTGATATTATTACGTGTCCTATAGTTTCATACATAGTATCATACAAACCAATGTTAATGTTATTGAAATTTTAATTTAAGATCGTGGTTGATCTTGACCGGTTCAAAGTTTGTAAGTTGGAACCAGTAAAACAGTAAACAGAACATTCTTATATTCTGTTTCATTTAAATACCCTACATAGGCTTTTAGATCGACATTTAATTCGACTGGCAAAACGGGGGATATAAAAATACTTCATTTTCTTTTATACACTCAATTTTGTCAGTCGGATTAAAGCGATCTAAAGAAGGCCTGGGAAATACACACTATTCCTGTAATAAGTGGCTAATTGATAGTTAGAAAATTTAAGATTTCGGAGAAGCTTGTTCAAAAGATAAAATATCTAAACTCAACTCGATGAATTTCTTCCGTTTTTCCTGTAAATTTTGTGGTGTTATAACAAAATTGATATTCTCCTTTGTTTACTGATCCTTTTTTGTTTGATTTTGTTGTTACTTGTTTTTAATTGGTATTTTTTCTTTCCTGTAAATATATGTATATTATCTGACTAATTTCTCAAAAGCCTGCTTGTTGGCTAAAAAGACTTTCTGTTGGTTAAAAAGAAAGAAAAAAATTGTCAAATGTTCAATGTTCAGATTTCAAATGGAATAAATTTTAACTAAAACCTTCATGTCCAATCTCAACTAAAAAGTTCTTTCCATTGATAAAACATTGATTTATGTGGAAATGTTTATTTTTAGTATTCTCCACTCAGTGGAATGTTACAATCCATCCACCAACTGTTGGTACTTTGTCAAGGCAATGTCGGAAGGAAGAATGGGCGCATGCGCTGCAGAATATGGCGGACAACTTTATGTCGCTGGCGGTTATGGCGATTCTGTGAAAGAATCTGAACAATTCCCGATTTTGGACAGTATAGAATGTTTTAATCCCCATTCGAACAAGTACGAATCTTTTCTTGTAATCTTCATGTTTGATTTTTTTTCTTTCTAAGTCATGTCACACAAGAAGGAAACAAAAACATCATTTCTTTCCATTTTTTCAGGTGGACGTCGAAACTCAATATGCGCTACGGTCGTTGCTTTGCTAGTCTTGTGTCTGTAGGTCAATCGCTATACTTATGTGGAGGTTTTGCTATAAACAGGGGATCACATGACCACTATCTTTCAAGTGTGAGCGATGTAGATGAGTACGACATCCTTAATGATACATGGATTTACAAGAATCGTTTGTGCATAGGTCGACATGATGCTGCGTGTTTCATGTCAGGTACGTCTACAAAGTCATGTTTTAAGTAGATAAGAGAATTTTATTTCATATATTTGAAGAATTTTGATGCCATAATGTAATGTATGCAAACTGCTTATGAATCTGCTGAAGATGACGTTTATGTATGTTATAACTGTGTAAAGTTTATCGATTGTTTAGTGTTCTAACCTGTTGATTTATTCTCGGGGATTACCGATTGAACACTTATAACAGAAGACTGGTTTCAGGAGAGAGAAAACAGTTTACATACTAAATAAATAATGGTAAAAAAAATCTAATTAAAAGTAAACAAACACAATAAATGAAGAATCAAACTTGAGTCTAAAGATTGTTGAAGATGACTTGGAGGTATGTCATGATTTGAAATATATTCACATCTGTATAAAGTCAACATCACTTAGCAATTAGAGAATTAAATGATGTCCGGTAACTTATCATTGATTGGAGTTAGTTCAATTTTAATTTGACGATGTTGCTGCCAGTTGGTTTCAAAAAGTTGAGTCCAGGTCAAAGGTCAAGGTTTTGAAGCACTGAGATGTTAATGATAAAAATCTGTTGTCAGTAACTGCACAGTAGATTGATTCATATTCAATCTGTTGCACTTTGTTAAACATTGCATAAGGATAAGATAGCCTGATTTATACTAAATCAAGACATACTAAAATCGTCAAGGTTGTATAATCAAGGTCAGGGATCTAACTTGCGAATGTGGAAAACAAAAATAAATTCTACAACTTCAATTGAGATAAAATATTTGACATGAAATATAAAATGATTTGTTTATTGTAGATGACAAGATATACCTAATAGGCGGAATATCCTCACAGCTAGAGCACGCCCTCTGTGACGTAGAATGTTTTGATCCACAAAGAAATGTCATCTATAAGGCAGAGGATACACCTTACCAAATTCACTGGATCAAATGTGCAGTTTCCAAAAACTGAAGTTAATTCTGCCAAACTCGATGTATTATCTGAAGAAAAAAAGTTAATATTTATCAATATCCAATAGTTTTGTGAATGCTATAATTTGAATGTTCATTCTTATGAAATAAAGGTTGTTAATGTTTTAAATTCAATATTTTGATAATTATATATTTGAAATTTTTATACCCGCACTTTCTAAAGAAAGTTTTCGGATGTATTGTTATCCTGGTCCGTCCGTCTGTCATACTTTCTTCTTCCTGTAATTCCCTTTTCAATTTAAGCAGTAACCAATTCACGTATTGGAATATGCTACGTATTGGAATATGCTAGGTGGTGTTCTGTATATGTGCCATATCGTTTCAGAGTTTTCATTTTCATCCTGGGGGCCAAGTGGGAGTTGAAAAAAACCCTTTTTTTTCCTACAAAAAACTGGTAACCAAAACTCCTCTTACATTTTATGCAGAAGCCACATCTCCTTTTCAAAATGATCAGTGGTTTTCTGTAAGATGTGCAATAAGGTTTCGGAAATCTCTTTCACCTATACTCAGAGTTCCCTTTCCAAAAATGAAATTCTTCAAAATCACCCTATTTTTAAAGACTTAACATTCCAGTTAATGGAAAGAGGTAGATTTTCCGTACCAATACTGGATTCCAAAACTTCAAAAAAAATTCATTACAAAGATTGCAGTGCCAAATAAATGTTTAATCAAGCCCCTGTCCTTACTACTCACCAAAATATTAAATGCCAATGAAGGAGTAACTTCAAACGTATTATGTAGCAACATATTCAAGAAGTGGTATAAATCAAACGTTGAAATTAGAATAATCCAAAGAACTTTTGGAAAACTTAAATCTCAGAACATTTCAAACATCAAAAGCATCAAAACATGTGACTTTTCTACCTTAAGGTATGTCACTCGTCAGCCTTTTAGAAAATTTCAGTCAGAACCTCTTACTTAAAAACTATTTATTACAATTCAATCTTTATAACATATTTAAATTAAACAATGTAAAATGTTCAACATTCAATTAAAAAACTGCTCAAAAATTCACAAAGAAGCAAGATTTATAAGGGACTATTTCTTGTGGCGGAAGGATATTTAGCAGAAAATTCTGCAAATATACACATTTATTAAATTTATTATCTTGGAACTTTAGCCTCACATACTTTTACTGAGAGAATATTTTCCGTTATGATATGCCTGGAATATTAAATATAGGTCTCAATTTATATTTTTATAACAAAATTTACACCTTCGCTCAACAAACATTGCCAAGAAATGAAGATATATTAAGGAAGTCGAGAAGAAATTTACACAGTTTTTGCCTGAAAATTGCATATTTTGACCAATTTTTCAAAATTTACATCACTGACCCAAACCTTTTCTTTCATTATTTTAAACTACTCGATACTTTTGGCCGATCAGCAAATAAGTCGTAAAAAGTTTGATACAAAAAAATATTATATTGCCTAGTTAGATTTTTAATACCCCAAATATGAGACTTTTTTAGTGCAAAAAGGTCACACAATAATTTACGCACATTAATTTGCATGATCTGTTCAATGATAAATATTATTCAAACTATTTTACGTAAAATAAGTTTATATTTATTGCCAAAATTACATCTGATAAAATATGATAAAGATTAAAGTGATTGACCAAAGAGTTACAATTTAAGTGCAAAAAGGTCAACTTAATTGTACCCTAGCTCGGTAGGATGCACACTGACCCCCCATTTTCTCTGCGATTTTGAGTCATACTATATGAGTACTTATCCAAAATATACTTCTCAAAAAATCCTTGATATAACAAATTTCACGAGTGACATACCTTAATACAACCATTCCTCAGGAAAAAATAAAGACCAAGCTTTTTGACATAATAGAAAGCTGTTTCCTAAATAAAAATGGAACTCACAAATGTTCCTATCTTGTGATTGGTCATCTACAAAATTACTTTTTAAAAGTCATTCTGATTCCACATGCAAATACAATGAAGTTGATATTAAATGTCTAAGGACACTTGCTACAATAAAAAAATTGGACGCATGGCATTGATTATATTTTACGATTTATTTTGTTTGTTAATGATACAAATATTCAATTCCTAAAATCTTTGAAAAATTGTTAATTTTCTACGATGTTGAAAATTCTCATTTTCTGCCATTCCCCTTATTAATCTATACAAGTTTTCACTACTTTATGGGACGCTACGTAAAAATCTTGATTAAAAGTTAAACTTTTTGTAGTTAAATTTATTTACAACGTGTCTTACTCATAAAAATATAGATGTATGGTAACTGTTATCATGAAGATTAATAAAAAGTGTAGCAAGTGACCTTAAGCAGCAAATTGTCCTCTAATAACAGAAGGAGATGTTTTGGTTTTTTTCCATGCTCTCTATCTATAGACAAAATCATGTCAGGCCCATAATTCTCCAATCAAACTAGAAGGGCCTGGTTCAAAGCTTTTACTCTGGAGTCCAAGTCTGAGAAGTATGATGTTGCTGATATGCCACAAATCTAGATACCCAATAGTTATCATATTCAAAAGTCCAATTAAATAAGCAGAACAAAAACGGGTCCCTGGAAACATCAGAGGTGAGATCAGGTGGCAAGAGGAATAAGCACTCCCTGTCGAGCGGTCAAAACCTCCGTGAGCCCCTTGTCATGAGAGAGTAAGAAGATTGTAATATATAGACAATTCAATATGAAATAATAATTTGTATGAAAAACTTCAATGTTTATTGATTGAGACTCATGTTTATCAAATCTTCCTAAACCTTCTTAGATCTACTTGAATGCGAGGTATTTTCTAACTTCCTTGTATACTGCATTCGTCTTGTTGTTATAAGTCGCTCAGTCTTATTCAATGTATTTCTTAGTCACAATATACTCATTTAATTTCAGAAATCTATGAAAAAACAGCAGATGTTCTTAAATAATCTTTGCTTATTTGTAGGAGAATTTACAGAACTTGAAGAATTTTGAAGTCGTTTTAAAAAAGTCTTTGAAGTAAACTTCCCTCCCGGAATCCAGAGTAAAACGTTTCTTAGTTTGAAATTCTATCATTGAAAGTATTGAATACTGCTTTTTGTGCTTCTCTCTCGTTTCAATTTGACAGTAGCAAATTGTGAGAGTAATCTGTTTCTAAGTAGTCCTACTCAATCAAGAAGTTAACTTTTCTTTCGCACACACACACGTCTTGGGCTTCTATTTCTCGTCCTGATCAGTACTTAGCTAGATGTACAAAGAAAATGTTAAGACGTAAAGATTAAATATCCAGTAAATTTCTCAATAGATACAAAATCACTATACATCAATGTTAAATCAATGAAGCTTCATAGATCAGATTTAACCCAGGTTTCACACCCTTTGTGTGGCCTTCATCATTATCTCCTTTGTTGTACTCAATGATCAACTATAATTATGATTTCTTCCCTCTACGAGATCCTTAAATTTTCTTCATTTGGTATATTACTACTCTCTGGCATAGTAAATAAGTAAGTTTATCCTGATCTTTTTTTCGTCCATTTGTATTCTTATACTGATATAAATGATACTATTTGAAAAATTTACTGAAAAAAAATATTCTTGAAATTTAAATTTCTAATTCTAGGTCGAACATCATCGTCTTGTTGTTCTGCTAACAATACTTGATACTGATTTCATTATGCATGACAAATTGGGGAATGGAATCCAATTGTCAGGACAGCCATCACTGACAATTTTTGAATGAGAGAGTAATTTGACAAGAATAAGTTTTGCCTTAAGGGTGTCCGCACCTTAGCCAGGAACAATAACTCTTGAAATTTCATTTACCAGTATTAGTACAAGCCTTAAAATGAAACTGGAAATTGAAAGTTTTTTGTGCAACAATTAAAATTTTGTGTGTTTTTTATATGCTACAAGGTACTTTGAAGTCTTTAGAAGGGTCTTGTGAAAAGTTGATATTTGCACTGTATAAAAGGAAACATATAATTAGATTTTCTTTTTAAATAAAAATCAAATTTCCTTAAAATTTTCCCTACATTAAATGACTAAATAAGTATAATGTTCAACTTAGGAAGATACAACTTAGAAAGGTACGCATAATTTACTCAAGGCTTTCAATGAAATATTGTGTGCATTTCCAGTTACTTAATCTCTGATTTTAGGAACCCAAGGAATAGGCTATGTTAGTTCCTTTCTTATTTGGCATAAATTGATGACTAAATAATATTCAGTACACTCATATATAAGAGGATATTATTACAACTGTCTCAAATTCACAAGTTTTAATAAGTCCCTGCTTCTTTGTTTGCAGAGAATGGGGAACCATTGCGCTCGTGACCGTTTATCTTACACTGCTATCATTATAAATTCACGGAAGTTCCTTGATTAAAATGAACAAGTACAAAGTAAAGGGGAGGGAAACACGCGCAGATGTCAGTTTACCTTAAGTGCTATCAACTTTTCTTCACGGAAATTCCCTGTTCAACATACAATGTATAGAAGTACTCCACTTTTCACCAGAAATCTATGTACAGAAAAAAAGGGGAAGAATATATTGATTGAAGTAGCTTTCAAATTTTACGATTATAAAAAACTACTGAACTTAAAATTATCCAGGGTGGTTTTAAATTATACTTCCGGGATTGACAAAAATGAATTAGCACTGTTTTCCCTCCGTAATATATCTTGCCGTTTGACATTTATTAATTTAATTTCAAGGTTCAATAGTTTCGAAAACGGGGTAATTATCACGGATATGACTAATGTCAACTGTATACAGTTAAATTATATCATTTAGGGAGTCAGCAAGATTCCAGTTCCCCTGAAAACATCAAAGGTGTGGTTAGGTGGCAAGAGGAATAAGCACTCCCTATTAACCAGTCAAAACCGCCGTTGGCCCCTTGTCATGATGACCTAAGCATACTAATCCGTAGACAACGCAGCATAAAAATAATGAGCTGACAATTTGTACCAAATATATTGAGATCCAATGCTTAATCTTCTTACACTTACTTGAATGCGAGGTATTTTCCACTTCCTTGAACTCTCCCTTCTTCTTGTTGCAACAACTTACTCAGTCTTAATCAATGGGTTATATAAGGAATGAATTTAATAGCTACCCAAGATATACTGGTATAACCTGGGTTGGGGCA